TCCGACCGTGGTCGGCGGTGTTGGTGCCTCCTTGGGCCCCGTGAAGTGCAGGAGGAGGGAACAGGACTTTCCCGATGTTCCTGCGGCTGCTGAGCTGGGGCCTGGGGATGGGCTCTGCTGGGCTCTGCCAGGGACGCTGCGCTCGGGCGATGGAAAAGACCCTTCCAAGCCCACCACGGTCCCCACCGGCCACACTCACCTGTTTGCACAGGGCCCTGCTCTCCGTGTCACTGACGGCTCCTCCGCTCCTCGGGACCTCTCCGTGCATTGGCTTGGACCTTGGGCGCTGCAGGCACATGATGGAAGCCACCTCTGGAGTCCTGCTGCTTGGGGACTGGTGCTGGGATTTTGCTCAGATCCATGTTTCCTCTCTGTTTGAGGGGTAACTTGTGTCTGGTTTTCTATACAGAGGTGAAAGGGCCTTTAGCAAAGCCCCTCTAGATAAGGTGACCGTGCTGGAGGCCCATGACTGGTCCATGACTGGTCCTTCAAGCCAGCATGTGAAATAAGGAGGCCATGGTGTTGCAGGTGCCCAGGCGCCTGGTTCCTCCCTCTAGAGCTGCTTCCCAGGGAGTAGAGGTCTTCGCAATAGAAGGTACCACAACTGAAGCCCTCTGAAGAGTTCAGATGCAGAAGGCTCCAGCGGTGCCTAAGCAGCACCTGAGCTCTACCTCATCCTGTAGCCATCCCTACTAATGCTGGACCTGCACGGGAAAAACAAGGAGCGATGCAGTGATGGCGAGGAAGGCTGCTATAGTGAAGACAGGAAACCCAGGAGTTGTGACCACGTGGAGAAGAACCATGTGTCTTCACAGCAGCATTTGCACGTGCAGCGCAGATGGGCTCCAGCCTTGGCGTTGCCTTCAGCGCTCCGCATTGCAGCCCCAGCCGCCTGCTCACGACTTGCCCAGCTGCCGTTTGCCAAGGTGGTCCATCGCCCAACCGCGGTCGCCTGTCTCGGTGGTGAGGATGGCAGCACGTCCTGGGCACCGTGCCGGGCCAAAGCCACCTGCAGAGCCAAACCACCTTGCTGCACGAACACCGATGCTCTGCATCCTTCACACACATCCAGCAGCTGCTGCGGGCTCTGCCTTCCACAGCGAAAACACAACCAAGGGCTTGACCAAGCCCAGTGATACAGGTTGTCACCACCAAAAGAAAGGGAAGTGCACGCTTGTTTTCTTTTCAAAAGCTTTTAATAGGACACGTTTGTTTTTGTCATTTGTAAAGATTTACACTCATTTTTTGTCTTTTTGCATTTTTTAAAAAGGAACATTTTTAACCCAATTTTTCCCCGTGAAGACCACCTTTTGTTGTCCTGACCAAAAGACCTTGGTTTTGGCCTATATACCTGATACAGTATAACAATATATTAACTATTAAATACAAAGTTCTATAACATATACTAGGTTGTTACAGACATTGCAAGGTACTGTGCCTACTCTAGTCACCTTGTGTAATAGTGTACATGGGTTAGTATAGCCAAAGGGGCAGAAAAGGGGAGACTGGGGCATAGCCTAATTTACAACATAACACATTTAATTGCTTTTTTTTTTTCCTTTTTTCCCCCTTGAACACACCTTGTGCTGAGTGCAATCCACAGAAGTCAAAAACATCATTTTCTTTGCCCTCTTCCACAGTATCTACAGTATAAACAGCCTATAACCTAGCAAGGAAAAATGAATTTGCTGTGCAAGGGACTGCAAAAATGGACTTTTTTTTCCCCCGGACACATCTGCAACCTCTCCTTCCTCACCTGTCCCACTGGCCATAGCAGAATATTCTCCTCCCGTCTGCATACAGTAAATCCACAGTATTAAAGTGCTGGTGTGCTTGGATGAAGTGGCCAGGAATGAAACCACCTCCCCGTCCACGCGGGCCGCGTTCGCAGCGCGGGCGACGGATACGGGCTCCGGTCTGGAACTGCGCAACCGGACACCTTTAGCTTAGCTGCTTCCTTGGAAGCCCGACCCGGATGCAGGCGCGGGATCTAGGTTAGGGCCGTTGCGATACGGTAGGCCTGGCTCCAGGTTTGGGAAAAGAAAAATTTCGATAGAGCTGCTTCTGTTCCCAAGACGCTACGCGGACTTTTTAACGTTTTTCTCTACAGATTGCTACAAAAATATAAAAAATTCTATCAACAGAACCGTTCTACAGAATTCCAGTGGATTTTTGTACACTTTGCTTAAAAAAAGTCAAATTCTATAAAACCCCCCCATACGGTATTGAAAATTACGTTAAGATTATTGCACACACTGCAGTACGTTTAGTTTTTCAAAAGGGCAGCTAGAAAAAAACCTTATCTGGTTTAGAAAACAAACTATTTTACATGGATTTTTTTTTCCTGAATGCATCATCATACAGTCTTCTTCATTGACTAGTCCTTATTGAATATTCATGTATGATGTAAACTTCGTTACTCACACAAACCCTGTCAGTGGGCAAAACGCCAAGTAGTGAAAAATAGACCAGCCCTTAGGCTCTCTGTTAGATTTGCAGTTGAGCTTTTGGATTAACATCACATCCCCTTTTTGTGCCATGGTTCCAAGCTAAAATGCCACCAGTTATTGTCTAGGGAAGGGATGTATGAGTAGCATCATTCCAGCTACGGATATATACTGCTAAGCATTAAGTGAACCAGGGTACAGCGATTTTAGTGGCCTTGCTATTGGGCAAAATTACAGTAGATGTGAAAGGAAAAGCGAGGGCTCACTGTGAGTGCAAAATGAAAAGGAGATTAAGAATATTCCTCAATTTTGACGCTCTGTAATTTTATTATGCCCTTAAATGTGATCCCAGGGAAGGACCGATGTAAGGTTTGCTTGAAAGAGTTGGTTTATATGGGCTGAGCTCTGGGTTTGGGCTGGCATTTCAAAGCGACCCATTCTCTGTCTGGGCCCATATTGCAACTGCTGAAGAGAGGGAGAAGGTCCCAGCCCAAAATGAACCTGACTGAAGGAACCAGTGCAGAACATGAATCTTCTTCCCATGCCCGACCTCCTGACGAAATCCCCTCATTTTTCTAGGCTGTCTACAATCTGGTGGGATCATTTGCGGGCTAAACGTCCTCAAATGAAAATAAAGGAGCTTAAGGACTCGCTTGGGGCTGTCACGTGTTAGCAGCATCTTCCCCTGCGGATCTACGTGGGGCGAGCGCAGATGCAGGCGCTCGTAATCGCCTAAGCTCTGCAAGGAGAAGAGGTCGCACACCGACACGTTCTGGTGATCTGAATGCATCAGTGGCTCTCAAAAAGTTACAGACTCCTGCCTGATGGAATTAGCACAAATCCCTCCCTCGCTCGCGCTGCTTTACCGCCCTGATCCCGCCAAGCCGTATACATGGGTGCAGTTTTAAACCTCACACGACTCGCACATCTAAAACTAGGCTTCCAACGGCTTGCAAAGCCAGCGTCTTAACTTGATTTCACGGAGGCGCAGTGAGGTTACTGTGTGGTTTCCATCGGCGGCGGCAGAGCAGGATGCGTCCCGGCTGCCAGACCCTGCGCTGAGCTCCGGGCTGTGCTGTCCCGCTCGCTCCAACACGCTGCTTTGTGCACAGGGCATAAGCACAGAGTAAACAGTTACCTGGGGAGATCCCTAACATTAAGAACACGTTATAAGGTAAGGACATCAATTCCATCTTTTTCTTTTCCTTTTTTTTTTTTTTTTTTTTTTTTTTTTTTTTTTTTTTTTTTTTTTTTTTTTTTTTTTTTTGTATCATGATGCTGCTACTTAAGGCTTTTACTAGGCTGGGAATAAATTTCAACCGGGGTCAAGTAAATTAATTCTGGCAGTGATAGGAAAAAAAAACCTGCCTGCTTTGCTTAAACTCAACACTCATTTCCATACTTGCAGACCCTCTTCTACATACTCCATAGAGTAACTTTGCAAACTTTAATAGGCCTTGATGCAATTAAGCACGTGAAGCACATGATTTTAATTTTAAGGAATTACTCAAACACCATTGACTTCAATGCAGTTGAAGCAGGAGCTTAACTTTAAGCATGTGCTTAGGTGCACTGCAGCATCACGTCTGCACTGAGATATGAAACCCTAACTACGGCCTTATCCTCCTTTTCACCCTGGTGCAGAGAGGAATCACTGCAGGGAAAACAGTGGACTTGCACATGGGTAAACCCGAAAGAAAGAAACAGTCTTTATCCGAGATGCTGGAAAACCATTTGGGAAGGGACCGTGGGGTTTTGCTGCCCAGGTGTCCTAGGCACATTGGAAAAGAGATCCATGGCCACGCTTTAGTGACTCACCAGTGGACAAAATCCAACACCCTTCCATAACTCAGCGTCGTGCAGTGCCCGTGTCCGGCTAGGTCGCCTCTGCCTTCACAGTCTTCCTGCTTTCGTGCACCTGCTTTCCCTCTGGATGCCAATTTTAGGCAAGAATGGAATATTATTTGGTTACAAAAAAAAGCGCCACTGCATTTCTCCACTATGCAAACGATCTCTTTGTTTTTTTTTTTCTTTTCCAGAAGATGATTGAAGTCCAAGGGGAAAAATAAATTACATTAAATAATTCTTATTCACTGCTGACTGTGGGATACATTTCCTCCGTAATGCACTAATTGGCTACATTTTGTGCTTTGCAAAACAAAATGAAACCCAAACAAAACAAAAAAAGAGAAGGGATTAAATATATATATTTTTAGGTTAAAATATTCATAAAAACCAACTTTATCTCAGAAATATTCTGAGATGCATAAAATAGAAGAAAATTAAACGAGTCTTTGTCACAAAATGTACTACATCCCGCAATACTAGATTCAATTAATTTAATAAAATATAATATACATATAGATTCTGCACATTGTATTGCTTTTACCTAAGCAGAACATATGCTTAAGTAAGCGTGATATAGGTTAACCGCTCTTTTAACCAGCTGGTTCTTTAATCTTTCTTTGGAAATTTTTTTACCCAGTGCCATTTTGGAATACAGTTTCCAGGTTGCTTTGTTTTTTTGTGTTTTTTCCTTTTTTTTTTTTTTTTTCCTCTATTACGTGAAAGAAAGAAAACATTTGGCACCAACAGAAAAGTAACTCAGGGGTCCATTTCCGTTTGATCCAAGGAAAAGCTAGGGAGCGTCAACAGGTCTTTCCTCGGGGCTGCAGCAGAGGCTGGCGCGCTGTCCGGAAGCGGCGACTCCGCCGCCTCCGCGGAATCCTTGGACTCGCAGGACGGCGCGCGCCGTCTCCGGCAGCTCTCGGCGCCGGCGGCGGAGACGCCTCGAGGCACCAAGCCGCGTCCGTCGGGCGGCTCTATAGAGATGCACGGCGGGCTCAGTTTTTTCTTGGGCCGCGTCCCTTGCAGGCCTTCCATTTCACTTACCACCTGACTTATGAAGCCAGAAGAGCTGGATGTGGAATGGTGCTGGGGGCTGTTTTCCATGGAGCAAATTTCTATGGAATGTCTCCTTTGATCGTCTAACCAAGAGGGCGGCTTTTTTAGAAGGCCCTGGGTGTCCACGCTGTGGTATTTCTTCAGGTCCTTCAGCGTAACGTTGCCGGTATTGCCGATGCTCCTCTTGGGAGAGAGAGGCCAAACCTCTGAACAGGCACTCGAGGCTGTACAAGTTTCGGAAGTGAAAGGCTCCGAGGAGCTGGTTGTTTCGGACACTTCTCGCTCCACGGAGTCTCCGGGGGTCTCTGCACGGGAGTCTGCACAGGCACAGGCTGCGGGTGCCTGCTTTGCGATGTTGTACTGGTCGTGGGCGTGCTGCTGCGTGCGGACGCGCGCCCGGCTCCAGGCGGCCGCGTCGCTGCGTCCCGCGGGCGTCCCCGCGCCGCGCGCCGTCGCCTCCCCCTCCTCGCGCCCGCCGGGCTCCGCGGGCTCGCCCGCCTCCGCGTGCACGTTCTCCTTGCTCTCCCAAGAGTCGTTTCTGATCGCCATCTGTAAGGGAGAGCAAAGGGATGGGGGACAAGAAGTGGTGCCAGGTAAGAGACAGGGACTGAATGGAGGTTAGTGGGAGCATGGTTAATATCTCAGTGTGAAGCCACAGACAACCCCGACCCCTCTAGCTCAGCCCACACCAGGGCTGAGAGCAATTCCTGGGCTCCAGCAATCGCTGGGTTCATCCCCACAAATGTTACCCCAGCATTTGGCCCCTCCTTGCATGTGTGTGTCTGGCTCTCTGCTTTCTCCTCCAAGCGTGGAGGAGTGCAAGAACCAAATCCCCCCACCCAATCGTAGACATGCTCTTGTTAAGCAAACCAAGGCGCTTTCCTGCAAAACCCTTAGCAATTTTATCAGCCCAAGCACCATCAGGAGGGACATGCAAGTCGTGTGTGTTCCTTACCCTCCAGGTCAGGGGATGCTGAGGACCCGGAGCAGGATGCCCAGAGTTGCCTACACCAGAGCAATTGCGCCCTGTGCCAGCATCAAAGTGAGACGCTGGCTTTGGGACAACACTTCTGTCCCCAGGCTGGAGCCAGCACTCTGCACCAGAGGAGCGAGAAGTGACAGAGATGCCCAAATTGGACCTGAGCATCCGTAATTATTTTCGTCTGTCATGCTGCGTGAGCCCGTTTCACATTTTGCTCTGGCTGCTTTGAGTCACATCCAGCATTAGTGTCTGCTAACCGAGATGTTTTGAAGGCTTCATCGTGTCGCTGCACTGCATCGCTTGCCAGAAGAGTTTCTAAATCTGCCACATTATCTGCCTGCGAAAACCACTCCCTCAAGTTCGAGAAGACTCTTAAATAATCTTTAAAATTAAAAAACTTCATGAAGAAGTTTGGAAGAAATGCATACAGCCAGTCTCAGTCCTTGAAAGAAGTTTAAGGACATGAAATTCCTCATACCCAGGAAAGCTTCTATGACAAATCTCCCCCAAATGATCCTATTTTTTTTTAATAGAAATAGTCTCCAAATGATCATTTGACCAAATGACCTCTGTTCGGACCAAGCTGCCACCAGCTGCAGCACGCATACATGTGCACACACAGCCACGAGTGACTATTGCCGTGCCTGCACATTGGGCTCCCTCTGTCCAGCTGCGAGAGTATTTAATAGTGCAACCGCTTTTCCCAAACCTAGTGAGTCCTTCCAGTTCAAGTTCTACAGCATCATACCAGTAACTAATCACAGTCAAGTGCAGAGCTTGACTTGAGGGTCCCTCAATGAGCTTGAGGGTTCCTCAGTGCCAACAGTGAGCATCCGGGGAGAAAACATCACGTACCTACCCTGCAGCACAGGCCACAGAAGAGTAGAAGACAGCAGCAAAAGCCAACTCTTCTCATCATGGCTTTTGCTCGTACACAAACCTGAGTCGTGTTCAAATGCAATAGCAGCCACCAACAGCTCTTCCTTTCCCAGTGATGCAGGCATCTTTGGTAGATGTTAGCAGTGACTGCTCAGGTAAAGGATTCATTGACTCATCTACAAATAACAAGAGAGACCTCCCCTGCTTTGGTGCAGTCTACACCATTCATGTCCTGGAACCAGACCCAAACAAATGAGTGTGGTTTTAATTCTTCTGCAGAAAAGCCCTTGGGCAACGTGCTGCCAAGGAGCACGGTCCTCACGGGGAGCTTGGCTTTAAATGTCCTCTCCAAGCATCCGATGCGCTAATCTTCGTCTGTGAGCGCATTGCTAATTGTCAGGTTTTCCAGGGTCTACATTGTGTGTCCACGCTACAGCACGCTGGGGGAAAGGGAGGTTAAACACATGGGTTTTAGTGATGCAGGAGCGTGTGCGGACCAGGGATGTGGTGGACGAGATTTATCTACGCCCAGATTAAGGAGAGCAGGCAGGACAAGAGGCAAGGGAAAGGAAAAGAAAAAAAGAAAGTAAAATCAGAATTACATGCAATATAAGTAACATTAACGAAAAATGGGTGCTACAAATCAAAGCGTTTTGCTAATTTGGGCTATGGGATGAGCTAGTAACATGTTAGTGAGGGTGAGTGGAGGTGCAAAGTGGAGAGTACTTGAGCTAGAAGCATTGCCAAGGAGGTAAAGGGAAGTCGGCCTCTTTGAGGACTAAGATTTAAAGTCTCTGGCCATCCGTTTTGCCACTGCCAGGCAGAAACTATAGGCAGAAAGGCCACAAACTTCTCCTGCCCTGGATATTTTTAATCCCAAGGAACATGGGCTAGCAAGAGGCACCCAGAGCCACGCACCTTGCTGAGGGTCGCTCAAATTTGGTTGCCTTCAGGTCAGAAAGCTGAGTGCCTGCAGGGACAGGTCCCATGCTTGGAGGTAGGACCAGTACTCCCAAACTTCCACTCTTCACTCCATAACAGTCCAGCCAGGAGGTCCCTAAAAATCCCAATTTGGCCACTAGCGACCTCAAAGTGGCTGGTGACACCCTGGTGACTGCTACAACCTCACTAACTTTGGAGTGATGTGACTGGGCCACGGACAGAGCTCAAGCCTTCTTCTTTCTTAAAAGTCATGCTAGGTTCACAGCACGCGCAGGGAGAGGACGCAGGGGAATGAATTAATTTAAACACATGAAATGGTTTAAGCAAAGGAAGCCTCGCAAAATATGAACAAAATTCGTTGGGGGAAGATGGCTAGCATGCTAATTTATCCTAGGGCAGTTCAAAAGGACGGGTCTGTCATTCATTAGAGGGCAGGGGAGGATGGTTATGAACTGGAATCATGACATCAATTAGTTTCCCCATTAGCGGTGATTGGGGTAGCAGGCCAGCCCTGTGCAAGCGAATACATGCTAGGAATTTCTCTTGCCAGCTTAGCATTGCAGACTAATGTAATTGTTAACCTTGGTACTTCACATTCATTTTCAGAGCTTAATGAATCAACTGTCTGATTTGTCAATGTTGATTAAAAGATGAAAGAAAGGGAAATATTTTCATTCGGAAAATAAATTATTTTTGAAAAAAAATAAAAAGAAAGATTTAGGCTGTGTATACAAAACCAGACATAGGAAATTACTGGAGAAAATAGAGTTTGGGAATCAGACCTGCCTCTGGTTCTGACCCAGGAGCACAGTGCAGCCTGTTTAAACACGTGAGAGCGAAGCAGAAGAACAAGTATTTTACTAAGAGGATAAATTTAAACTTATGTTTCCAATCAAGCAGATTGGAATCTTTGATTAGAATGCTTAGATCTTGGGTGGAATCAGGATTTAAATCAATGCAAGGCAAAAAATAGAGATAAAACTAGTTACAAAATGAAATATGTTCTGTTCTGTGTACAGTCAAGTTTTACTTTTTAAAAGCATGTAGGGAATTAAAAAAAAAAAAAAAAAAACAACCAAGTCTCATTTACGATGACACTTTTGGCCTTTGGGAATCTTCTTTTGCTCATTTTTATTGCGGCAGGACTCCAAATCTACAGGGCAAATTCTTAACTAGTCCCTTCACTCTCACAGAATCAAGTCCCTCGATAAAAAACTGAAAGATCTTCATTTTCAGTTCTCACTCTAAAAAACGCCATGCTTTCCATGAAGGTTTTGCATATCACAAGATATCCAACTGCCTTTAAAACAGCAGTGAGTTTTTCCAGTTTTTCCCCTTTCAAGAAATCAGAGAAGCCAGGGGAAGGGTGGCCAGGAACACTGTCTGCAGACACTGTGTCCTTTCAAGCACTGAGAAAAATCACAGCAATTAAAATTCAGTTCCCTGAACTCCAAGGAGCCCCTGGGGAGCGTTTTGCAGCATTTATGGAGTGGACAGAGAGAATAAAGTGCTATCAACCTGGATAACATTTAGGCCCGATGCCAAAGGAGATGATACCCATCACGCACACCCGTGGAGCCTCTTGGATGGCTTTCAGATCCAAATGCGTTGACCTTTCTGTTATTCCTCTACGAGAATTACAGTTCTCCTGAGGTTTCTCTACAAATTCCTTGTTGAATTTCCAGTTTGGTTAAGCTGGGAACGTGGCAATGAAGAACCTAGGAGGTCTGCCAGTCTGCTTACCTGCCTGCGGAGCAGCCTCTCAGCAGAAGGGGAGTGCACGGGCTGGGCAACCTGCGCCTTGCTCTCCCCGAGCCAGTGATCGGGAGCTCTTATGTGCTGAAAATGGTCTTTCGGGATCTGCAGGAGGGAGCTGGTGTCAGCCGGCTGGGACTGCACGGATGTCTTTGAACCTGGCGAGAGGGAGAAGCAGCAGCAGTGTGAGGTGTCCATCTAGAACCACTTCCCTGTCTCAAGAGACCTTCCAAAGGAACCTACTGCTCTGCATCTCGGATCAAACCAGCATGGCAAAAACACCCAATTCACCAACTGGCTCATCACAACGGGGAAAAAACGCCCACCTACTAATAAGTAATTCCAAAATTGTCTACTATTTCATTTTTCTTGGAATTTTCTCCTGATATACGTGGGAGTAGCCCCTGTTAAGAACGGCAGAATCCGAGCTAGAAGTTCATGTGGGCTGGCAGTTTTGGCGTGCCTAATTTTCAGAGCTTCTAGCCATGGATGTCTCCGTACCTGGGTGTATCCAGAGACTGACCACAAGGCTCTCCATCCCAACGGAGACGCTGGGAATACATGAAAGAGCAGCGCACCTGGCAGCTTCCAAGGGTAGTTTCACCAAGCATCCCGGGAGAAGGCAGCACATACCCGAGAGGCTCCTCCTGACCCTTCGTGGTTGCTGGCGACGTCTTCTAAAAGGTCTAAAACGCTGCGTGCTTCCCTCCTCCCCGCTGGCCCAACATTTTTTCAAAACAATTCATTTAACCTGGACTGCGTCCCAGAGAATCTCATTTGTCCTGGAATCCTTCCCAGAACAACAGCCCCATTACGAAGGAGTATTCAAACAAATACCTCCTGCGAGCGCCAGCGTTTCTGACAACAAAACCTTTCGCGGCTTGAAATATCGAGCCTGGGTTGCTGTGATTTATTAGAGACGCCTGGCACCTCGTGCTCTCTTCGCAGCACTTTAAAATATTACCGACTGTAAACAGGTAGGGGGGACTGCCCCCCGGCAAAGCAGTGACATTGGAGCAGGAACAGGACGGCAGGACGTGTGCCAACGCTTGGGCACCTCAGCCGCCTTGGAGCACTTTGGCACAGTCAATTGGAATTGCACCAGGAGGAGAGAAAGACAAGTGGTTTAATTGCTTAATGTGGCTCCGAATAAGACACTTTACCTTTCCAAAACACTCGTCCTAGGTGTCAGCAGAACAATTTTTTCCTGTGAATGCCCCCAAACCCATGCTGTCATACGGGGCTGCGCAGTGCTCCAAGTAGGGAACTGCAAAGCGCAGTCTTGGAGAAAAGAGGAGCCTAGAAATTACCTTCCTTTTGCTTATGAAGCAATTTATGTTCCAAGCAGGACAAGTTCATGCAAGTGAAGGGTCAAAAGCAAAACCCTAGAAACTCCATGTCACAAACGGGCTTCTTCTCCAAGGTCAGGGATTACGACTCCAGGGAACTTCTTGGCTCTTACAGACATCCACAAACTCTGGCTCCACTGAAGCTAACGGGAGTTTTGCCTACGACCTTAGCAGGATTTAACCAGGATTTTAGCCACAATTTCTGTGTTAGGTGCAAAGAGGTTCTTTGAGGGAGCATACCTGACCTTGAAAACGCCACGTTACAGCAGTGGCTCCTCACAGCTCCAGATTCAGCTTCTCCATTGCGTCGGCCTTTTCCTTCTGCTGTTCAACAGCCGCTATTCATCCACAGCCTTATTACTATGCAAATTTCTACATCTTATTTCTAATCTGTTCAAATCTCCAGCCGTTCTGAGCGGCGCTGAAATTATGTGCTGCTTAGATGCTTTCAAATGACAACGCTCACAAAAACTGCTCCGTCTTATCTGGGACAAACGCCTCGAGACGACGGCTTGCTACCGGCAGCTGGGATTGAGGATGGCTGCAGTCACCACCCTGCCCCGTGCACACCGGGATTGGAGGGACCATATCCCCATATTGGAGGCACCCAGTCCCTCCTAGGGGACCTCCCGACCCCCATAGGGTCTAGGAGGGCTTGGAGAGCCCTTGCCACCTGCAGCCCAGCGCATCTCCGAATTAAAATATTACCACTATTTGAATTCGAGAGGGACAGTGCTCCACACACGCTGCTTTTTCCACTCATCCCACACCATCTCTCTCCATTTGGCACATTTATGTTGTTTTTAGAGATGCTCAGAGAGATTCTTTCCGCTTTTTACACAACTGTTCCCTTGCAGAGCTCCCCAAATCTGCTAGAATAGGTCCTGCTGCAGAAAAGCAGACCCGAGGAAATCCTTTTCTGCGGGTTTCCTTTTTCTGCATGGGCCAGAGCCGCTTCAGCTGAGGCAGAGGGAGGGCCTGGCTGGAAACACATGGAAATTTGACGCTTCCAGCCGAGCAGCTGGCATGAGCACCAGCCCAAGGAGACCCAAGGCGCCTACCTGAGTGCTCCTTGCGGTGTGCGGGGCTGCGGGCGCCCGGCGGGGCGGCGCGGGGCCCGGCGCCGGGCGCCTGGAACATGTAGCTGTCGTTGGGCAGCGAGTGCGTGCGCCCCACGGCCGGCTTGCGCACGCTCAGCAAGTCCTTGCTGGGGGTCCGGGCGGGCGCGGGCTCCCGGCAGCGCAGATCCGCCTGCACGAGGGGGGAAAGGAGGGAAAAAATGAGCAAGGAGCAAACCCCTCCCAGGCCGAGGAGGAGGAAAGTGCCCAGGGACCCCAGCGAGAGCAACGCCCATGGGGATGGCGCGACGGGCATGCACACGCGGCACGGATGGATCTCCCGGGGAGCTGCAGCCCTCCTCGGGCGCTGGCACCCGGCACGCACCACAGCAGCGGAGCAAGCAGCGCGGCCGCAGCAAACCATGACTATATCCATGGAGGGGACATCAGGAAGGCATCATGCCTCAAGGCCCAGCAACGCACACGTGCTTTGCATTGCTTCGGTGTTGGATAGCAGCGATAACGCTCGGTGCCCTCATCAGCCAGTGGCACTTTTGCAAAAGTGGCTACAGTTCCCTTTTCTAGCCAAAAAAAAAAAAAGAAAAATCTGCTTTATAGAAAATGCCCTCTCTTCTGGCTCCTAGCACAATCTTATTGGGTTTTATCTACCATAATGAATAACTAAACCCGTTTTATTGAAAGGGATATTCAAACCTGCTGCTTGGAGGTTAAAGCTGCTCTCTAATGAGAAGGGATCGAATGCACGAGCGGGTTATTGAGTGCCTGTTGACTGTGGAATTTGTGCAGCCAAAGTGTCTTTTGGGACGGGCAGCCCCTGACGCGATACTGAATGAGGCAGATTCAGGTCCGCTTTCATAAGGAAGTATCTGCATCCTAGAAAAGCTCTTGGGTATCCTCGTTTTTGACAGCATTGCCAAAAAGGGAAGGGAAATCAGCTTCCCTGTATATTTTTAAGAAAAGAGTTGTTCCATCTTTAAAAGGTCTCCCCTGCAAAAATCACCAAAATGAGAGGGGATGCTGTGGTGTGATACAGTTCACAGCCCATCACTGCCTCTGGAAAACTTTAAACCTTGGTTCTGACAAATCTCCCGGTTCACTTCGCACCACTGCTTTTCTGAAATAAACGTTCCAAGGTTTTTCCAGTCTTGTCCTCTCATAAAAACTAAATTTCACAGGGATCTTCTGTATACACAGTAAAACGGGACAAGATTGAGGAGAATCTACAAAAAGAAAAAGAAAAAAAAAAAAGAGGAAAAGAAGGAGAAAGAAAAAGAGGGGAAGACCAAAGTAAATTTAGTGAAGGATGGGCTTTGGGAGCCTCTCTCTTCCTCCCATCCCTGCCCGCATTTAGCTTTGATATGACTTAGCTCAAAACACTAAAGATGGCCCCAAATCTAAGGTTTCAAATTCAAAACCGTTTGGATGCAAACAGGAGAATCTGAATCCAAGATCCTCTCCAAAGCAGCTTTTAAGACTTCAGGTTCCTTGGCAGGGTCTGCGGGTTCCAGTTTGTGCTCATGTGGGGAGGAATCCCGCGAGCAAACTCCATGAAAACCAGCGCAAAAGGGCTGCAAAACGGGCTCCCGCATCCAGCTCCCAACCGGAGCGGCGCGAACACATGACTCTCTGGTTCACTTGCAGTTCCTAAAAAACAAATTGTTTTGGCCTGACTGAAAATCAAATCGGAGTTTTCTGCGAACCAAAAAAAGAAAAAAAAAAAAAAAAAGAAGAAAATCCCAAACCAAAACTATTTCGAGTCAACTAAAACATTCTGCTTGAGGGATTTTGCAACTAAAACTGTGTCTAAATGAATCAATCTGCATCTAAATGAATCATAAAAGTATCCAAACTGCATTTAGGCAGTGTCTTAATGAAAACTTGAAGTTTTTCAGAAGTTTGGAAAATTGCTTTGACCAAAACACTTTGTTGGTATGGACACAAGTTCACAAACTGTTTTGTTCAGCCTGGTTTTGATTTTTTTTTTTTTAATAAGTTTTTTTTTTTTTATATATATATAAGTTAACCATTTCTCTTGCCTAAACTCTTGGGACTTTATCATAGCGTTAGTCTTGTCTAATCTGAGTCAAAACTAGAACAGGTCTTTCCTCTGTCCCTCTCTCCAGAATACTCCCCAGAAAATTGATTTTGAAACAAGGTGCGCCATACAAAACGGTTTACAAAAATCGCTTGCACATGATGCCATGAAGCATGATGGAAAATATCGTCACGGTTTAAGAGAGATGTTTCCCAAACAGGTACTAATTAGGACGACAATCAAACTAGAATGGCAGAAAATTCATCAACAACACAAACATCCAACGGCAGGTACACGGACACAATGAAGAGAACAGGAATGGGTCCAAAAATGCCGGAAAGGGAGTTATGTCTGTTGTACAGCAATAAAAAAGCACTTCACTGCTACACAGCTAAAAATGTCTAATGTTTCAAAGAGTAGATGGTCGAGGCAGGGTTCAAAATACTGGTTGTTTCATTCAAAAAGTCACAAAATAAGCCTGTTTTTGGTTTGGCTGGTTTTGTTGTTTGGTGAGATGACTGCCAAGCAGAGTTCACGAGAGAAGCAGCATCTCTGAGAGATCCCAATCTGATTTTTTTTTTTTAATATCTGATATTAAAATAACCAGCCTGGCACCAGTCCCACAAAAAGCCTTGCGGTGCCTATGTTTCTAAAGACAAAAATCCAGTGCGGACGCCAGCATCACCGCTGACCCCCGTGCAGAGGACACATGAGTCACCAGCCCATGGATGACTCTTCCATGCAGGATCCCTGATTCGTTTCAGATGCCGGGGAAATTTCAACCTTGACGCTTTCCAAAGCATTCTTTCATGTTTTACTTCTAGAAAACACTTTGTTTTTACACGAGACACCAAAGAGAAAAAAAGAAATAAAAATAAATACTCGTTCCTCGCACGGAGCCAACTTTGTGGGCATGAGCGCTAACAGCCCAAGACCTAATGGCATTAAGGACAATGTCCTGTTCAGAGGAAAGGTTGGTGCTACTTGGGAATGTGCCTGAACGGAAAATGCCATTAGGCAGGTACGGAAAGCGAAGGCAGTATTTCGAACCCTGTAGACATCAGACTATACGGTGAGCAGTGTATGTACATTGCTTTCCAGAGCATTAAGTAAGTGTGTGTAAGTATCGTCAGGAAAAGAGTCATCCGTCAGAGCTAAGGACCAGGACTTTTCAGAGAGAATATCTGACGTCAGAGACAGAGCCTCCATCTCAGCTAGAGGGATCTAAAGGGAGAGATGATTAAGCATAAGAAACCAGGACACAAATTTTTAGAGAAAGAAAAAGAGATAATAAAAACGTATTATCATCTAAACACCTCTAGACACCAAAGCAATATCCCTGTGCTGGAAGTGACTACATCATGCACATCGGTACTGGCGCAGAGCCTTACTGAAACCAAGTATAGCCAAGAAATGGAAAGGAAGGGAATAGGCACACTGAAATGCTTAGCTGCTGGGTTGTAAGAGAGTTTAAAACCACACGGTAATGCTGGGACTGAATTTTGTTTTCCTCCTGTCTAGGTGAGGGAGCAAAAGCAAAATCACTTTCCAGCTACAGATATTTATCCTTCTAGCTGTGATCAAAGAAAAGAGGCTTCAAGATCTTCAACCTTCTCCCTAGTGGTTCCTATCCCTGTGGCCACGCTGTTTTCTTGGACTCGAGTCTAATTCGGTCAAGGCCTTGAAAGATTCCCCAACACGGGTACCACTGCTAAGGTGGTGCGTGGAAGGTGGTGCATGGAGGCGGTGCCTTTCTCAGGGCTCTGGGAGCTTATGAAGCTTCCACCCTCTTTGTGAGACAGGTATGACCATAATTCACTTCCTACTCAAAATACCACCCATGTCTTCCAACCATCACAGTCCAAATGCCCTCACAAATCTGGCCCTAAACAGCTTCTCAGACTCACAGCAAGCTCTTGTGAAGTGGGACATGGCATTGCAGCATGAATGCTCTATGGACATGTGGTCTTTGCATTAATGCTTCTTGTTAAACTTATTCAAGTAAAACACTGATAAAGACCTCTCCATAGGCACAGAACTCTTTTGACAGAGGATACTATACATCACTGCAGGCTTTGGGGAAATGGAGGTTGCAGCATCCCTTCAAAGCAGCATCACCGCTCTCAAGGACCTCAGAGGTGGGTGGTGACCCTGAAGCCAAGGCTCAGGCTTCCTAAAATCCACCCCAGGTATGTGTCTGGGAGCCTGGTGTGTCCTCAGAGAGCAATGCTGAAGAGAACGTTTTATAAGGTATCACATGCTTGCAGTGGCCTCCTGGTCTGGATGTGTCCCAGGCACTTCCTTTTAGTTTCCCATTTCTTACGACTGTTTTCTGGAAAAAGTAGTATTTCTATCCTACGTGCTTCAAAAGCCTTTCAACAGCAATATATCTTCCAAGAAAAACCACAGAGGCCCAGATCTGTGGTATGTAAGTTGTCAAAGAGTTGGATTTCCTCACTCTTAGAAATGACCTCAGTGGGCCAAACAAACCTGGTGATGAGTGAACTCTGACAGGCTCAAAACTCCAGCTGAGACAAATTAGGGGGCTAGGCCCCTCTCATCACCTTAGGTCTGATACCTCGTCTCACGATCTTGAAGATCCTTTCCAATTACAACAATTCTATGAGGTTGTCTGCTATCCGTGGAGTGTGGGGCTTTGGAGGGACTTCCCCTGGCTTCCCACCGGGTCCCCAAAGGGGCACCTGAGGGCAGAGCTGAGGAGCCTGCTAGCATGAAGAGTGCAATCCTCAATGTGGACCGACTGTCCAGAGCTGCTGGATCTGGGGGAATGGCTGTGGTAGAGCCTGGAGGACATCAGCAGCTCCAGCCCACTGGAATTGCTCCGCTGGGAGCCGTTACTGCTAATCAGGTTGCTCTCAGCGAGTCCCACGGCTACTCTGAATTCCTAACTTGTCTAAAAGCATGACAAATGTTGAGAACCGAAAAGCCAAAATGTAAGCAAAACAACCCACCTGTCACCCCTCTCTTCTCCAAAAACTGAGTTTGAGTCAATCGAGACATTTTGTCAGAAATTGATTCAATTGGTTACGCAGTTTTTTAATTATTAAAAAAGCCTAGCTTAATTTTTAGAAGAAAAAACATCATTGAAAACTGGAATGCTATATTTTTTCATTATGAAAATGTCAAAACAGAACATTTCTGCTGCAACAGCACTATGTGGTGAAAAATGTTGTGTCAAAAAATTTCCAGTGAGCTCTCTGAGGTTCACCCTGTCCCCAGCCACCACAGCTCCCATCTCTGTTCCCTTTACAGATCTCCAAGACAAACCCTTCGGAGCGCTCAGGAGACCTCAACCTGATAAGCGATACACAGCAATCAGAGGGAGATGTGTTATTCTGCTATATAAAGATCTGCAGGAGGATTTCATTTTACCTAAGCTTGTGCCTTTTCTCTAATGAGCCACAGAGTTGGATAATTTCGAGTGTCAGTGAACCCATAAATAAGCACCCTGATTTAATATGAAAACTTCTGCTATTTTTAGACAGAAAAAAAATATATCAAGAAATAGGGACTTTGCTCAATTCTGACTGCAGAAAAAATTGGTATGTTTGAATTATTATTATGGTCACTGCTGTGATTTAGAGAAAATATTTGATCAAAAGAATAATATGTATGAGAACATAGGGATTTTATTCTAAGAAGTGGACTACTTTTAAGTAAGGGTACTGCAGACCCTATTCAGGAAAGCACTGGAACATGCATTTAGTTTAAGTACATCCTAAAGGGCTGTCTCACCTTCCTGAGTTAGGTTTAGCTCAGAGATGGAGATCTAGTCTACAATAACCCGCTTGCAAGAAGCATCTTCAGTAAAATCACATGGAATTGAATTTTCAGGCAGTGTCAAATGAGCAGAAATCATTGAGATCATTTACCGATCCTTCTCCTCTCAGGCTCTACCTTGGAAAAAACCCTCCCATTTGTACTCCAGGCTCTGCAGCTCCCTGAGAGCCCTGGCTGAGAGCAAGAAGTTAGAAACAAGAACCCTACTGAAGGATGAAGATCATGTTTCATATCTTTTCTCAACAGCACTCATGAACAGTAAGAAATTTCTCATTAGATTTACTGTGTTGAAGAGAAAAACTCTACTCCTCCATATCTCCATATCTCCATATCTCTACTAGATATGTAGATATCTACATATCTACATATCTCTACTCCTCCTCTTGCATCAATATGCAACATCACAAACCAATGGCATATATTAACTTGACTCCCCCCGAAAAAGCCAAAATAATTCATGTTTCAAATCCCTCCAACTATATTACACAAAGCAAAGAACTTCAATTCACTACGAAAGGTCTCAGTTGACCTGAGTTTGGATGGAGACTTTGCAGGAAATGAGGAATATTAACCTGGTTCTCAGAGTTGTAATATTCGGGAGCAGGGAGGGCATAGTGATGGCACACAGAGCCTGACAGGTTGTCCATCAGCTTCAGCTCTCCTTCCAGAGATTCCTGGATCAGCAGGGATATGGTATCAAACAAGTGCCTTTCCTAGGAGGGGTGGTGCATAGCATGCAGAAAGAGAAAGCAGGCCAGAAAGAAAGAGAGGGACGGAGACAGGGAGGAAAATAAAGCACATCGTAGAAAACAGAATAAATAAAAATGAAGAAAAAAAAAGGACGGAAACATTTAGGGAGAAGAGCAGTAACAGAAACGAGGGGGAGGGAAGGGTGAGGCAGGAGAGGAGAGAGAACAGTGCAGTAATATCACATCAGAAGTGAAAGCTTTCTCAGACATTAGCAGAGACGGGACCGCAGCCCATGGGACCGGTGATGTCCCCCCTCCAGGCCCCTCTTTGGGCAGAATATCACTTACTCCTCCTGGTAACCAGCTCTATCGTAGGGCCATTCCAGCCCTACGATACTGGGTGCTGAGAGTATCTACAGGTCACCATGAAGGCTTCCTTACCTTCTGCTGCATTTCTGAGCGAGAAGACCTCGAATGTGCCACCTAAATCCATACTCAGGGGTCACAGGGACTGAAGCAACCTGGAAGTCTATCCTGTCTGTGAAAGGTGCCCAGAGCTAACACTGATCAAACTGCTCGTTCACATGCCAGCCGTGGGTTGAGGTTCCCAAGGGCCAACTTCAGAGCAGCGAGTCTTGGCACGTACAACAGCAAATCACTTAGAGAAGGGTCTACCTTTCACAGGCTGCGTGGGAGCGATTTAAGAGTTGCCCCTTTCGTGTCGGGAGTGCCTTGTAGGTACAATGAGATGAGGAGCGTCGTTCCAGTCAGACAGCACACACTGCAAACCCCTGGGTACAGGCAAGCCAAGAGCATGCTGGCCACACCACCTTGCAGGCACACCACCGGGAATTGTATTCCTCTACTACTGTGTTCAAGCATCAGGTTCGTCAAGAAGGTTTTGGCTGGGAGAAGAAATAATTGGAATAAAAGCAGCTTTTCAAGAACTCTGTCTGGGTGAAAGAGCAAGAAACAGGCTCTGGAAATTGTGACTAGAATAAACCCTTCCCAATGCCACCTTCGGTGAGAGATTTACTAGGATGAAGAGCTGGCTGGGGCCTTCTCACTGGTTTGTTTTAAAACTTCTTCTCATTGTTTTCCTCCCAGCGTACTGGTGTAGGACAACAGCACTGAGGACAGTTTGCCAGTACTCTGTTTAACATATATAACAAAAGTAAGGACAGATTGTTTCTTCTTAAGAGAATATAATGAGCTTGGATTTCCCCACAGTGCCCTGAACTCTCTTTTCCTGTGCCAAGGAACAGCCTTGCACTCCATTTCAGACATCAGTGACTCCTGACGGCACCAGAAATTTCCAGTAGCTTAGGAACTGAAAGAAAGTTTAAATGGGGATTTACTCCGTCTCACCCTTGGACTAAAGATCATAAATGAGTTTTTCATGCATTGGAATACTCATTAGGCCACCCCAGGCAGAGGCCAAGATATGCTGTTGTGAAATCATGATGTAATAAAAGCTAATGATGCCCGTGTAGAATTTAACCCAATTTGCATTCAGCTAAGACTAAAAAAAGGCTGCACCATTCATTCTTCTTGCATAATTCCAGTTCTCCCAAAGAACCCGCCTGGGTCTTGACCTCATCTCTCATTCCTCAAACGGGGTCTTCACCCAGCAACTATATTTTACAGAGTCTTGTCACAACTCATTGCAGCTGCCACATTACAGCCCTGATCCTGCACTGCTCCTGCCAATGGGAGCTTTGCCCCCAGCTCTGGTGAGCCCAGCTTTGAGCCCCCTCTGGATTACCCTAATTAATTAATCTTTGCTCACAAGCTTGATTGTGGGGCATATGTTGAACTGAGGTTGCATAAAGCAAATTTAATGCTTAAGTAAAGATTAGCCAAGCTTTATTCCGCTCTTATGTTGTGCTTAATGGTCTGCTTTAGCAAAGCAAACACACTGCAGTCAAGACTTTGCTCCCACAAAGGGCCTATCGCAAGCTCTGCATTAGAGCAGATTTGCAGCCGGTGCTGGACTTGGTGGCTTGGGCACATCTCCAGAACAGATGCAACGCTCTTCACCTCTCAACAGAGGTGTGCCATGCTGGCGTGGAGACCTCACTCGGGTCTCGCTTGCAGCATCAGTTTCCACACCATGCAGCAATTAACCAACAGACAGCGAGGAATACAAGCCCGTGAGCAGCACTGCACACCCGCTCCTTCGTTACTGACTCGTGCATGTCTTCCCCTGGCAAAGAGGCAGGACAAGCCCTCGCCACCCCCCAGCTAAGATTCTCACCATAGGGCAAACTAACGAGAGCTGAGAATCCACCTTGATTTGCAGGGGGTTGACACATCCTCGGGGGCTCTCGGGTCTCTCTCCACCGTTGCTGCCGGTCCAAACGAAGATGTCCGAGGGGCTGCGCTGGCCTGGAGCTATAGTTTTCATTTCCATCTCCAGCTCAGCTTCGAGCTCTGCCTCCTCTTTCGCCTCCTTGTTGCTCTCCTCCAAGTGCTTCATGAGTACCGCGATCACCACGTTAACCAGGACGAACTGAGCCGTCAGCACGAAGGAGACGAAGTAGATGGGTGAAATGACAGTGTTGTAGCAGGTGGACTCCTGGTCGCAGTCTCGCAACGTGTCCTGGGAACAGGGGGAGAAGGATGGAGGAACTTAAGCGGTGTCAAGTTAGCCAAGAGGGGCCTAGTTCTGCCTTGTGGGCATCTGACTTAAATAGATTCTCCCTCCATGCAGCAAATGTTGAAGTCTGGGCAAATTTCACGTCCAGAATGGCAAAAATTTCTGTGTTAGTCACTATATCCAGGCTAAAAGGAAATTGTTAGTCACTACATCCAGGCTAAAAGGGGATGTGTGATCATAGACACCCACACACAGGTGCTCCTAAACTCCCAGAGGGTCAGAGTGATCAATTTACCAGATTAGAGACCTAATAGTGCAGAGCATAACAGACAGACCCAGGCACAGCAGGACCCAGTTGCTGCCCATCTCTACCTTGCAGGCTCTTTTTCAGTGAGTTAATGCTCTTTCATTATGAATTTAGCTACTTTTCATTTTTACCTTGGGCTACAAACAAGAAGAAAAACAGGTCATTCCAAGTAGCTTGAACCCTGTATATTCCTAGAGCAGATCCCTTCACAGGAGCACGCCCTGTGGCTATATCCTGCTAGAGACTCCCTTCCAGAAACACAGATTCTCCCAGGGAACAAATACAATCGACAATAAGAACAGTAACCAGAGATCTTTAAGGAAATAAACACCAAAGGCATGTTACTGGATTGATGCTCCTGGAGAGATGAGTTCCTTTATTTTTTCCCTTTTGTTTTAAGAGGCTTACTTAGGGAAACAATGGGAATATACGGAGCAGGCCAGAAGGCTGCAAACACAGGCATTACTGGGCAGGCGGGAGAAGAAACGTTAGGGCTGTTGCCTGGTGCACAACTGAGTGAAGGGGCTGGAGGGTGAGAACGTCCTCCCTGCTCTCCAACACTGGCCTGGGACAGAGTGGATGGCCCCTAATTAAGCAGTTATACCCACAACTCCTATTTAGGGCCTCTTACCTTCATTATCCCATTCCAGTTGTCTCCTGTGGACACTCGGAAGAGAGTCAGGAAAGCCATGCCGAAGTTTCTGAAGGTGGCGTGCCTCCCCAGCCCCTCGCAGGGGTGCGTGTCGTCACATTCTGCGAGAGCAAGAGCGAAGCGCCCGTGAGACCCCCGTCCCCACACAGCTCCCCGTCACCCGGCCACCCCTGGGGCGCAAGGGGACAACTCACCGAGGTCTCCAAACAGCTCCACTCCAAGAGCTGCAAATATGAAAAACAACAACATGAAGAGAAGACCCAGATTCCCCACCTGGAAAGAGAAAAAGACAGGGGGAAAAAAAACACACAAAAAAAGAACGTTTGTTGATTTTTTTTTTTTAATTTTATTTTATTTTTGTGTTCCAGACCTGTTTCTTGCTGCATTCTTTAATCCAAAACTTAAATCGCTTGAGGGGAAAAATGACCTCAGTGTGAGGACTGTGTCTCAGAGCAAGCTTCTGAAGGGCTATGGGGCTCTCTAACAAACAGCAAAGCTAAACGACCAGCGTTCCTGTGCCGTGAGAAATTAGCTCGGGGCCAGACGTGGCGGGTTGTGATACGGCGGGGGGTTACCTGGGGCAGTGCTTGCATCACGGTGTCCAGCAAGGCTCTCATCCCTACAGCCATCTTCAGCAGCTTCAGCACTGCGGAAAACACGGTTGGAACATAGTGACGGCAGCACGAGCAGGGAGGCGCAACCTCAGCCCCTCTCGCCGCGGATTATAGGAAGAGAAATGTGAAATCGCCTCAAGGGTTCTCCATTAGCCCCTCTAGTGCCAGGCCTTTTTCCACGGCTCTTGGTTGCTTGGATACTATTAAAGTCCTGCGCATAACAGCATCGCCTGGCCCGAGATGCTGAGAAGGGGTTAGCGGTTTGGTCTGGCTTTTGCCTTCCCACTTGCTGGGATGGATAATGTGATGCCTAACTGGGAACATAAGAATGGCCGTTTTGCCTGACAACATCTACAGCTACCAAGGAGGGTTCAAAAGCTACAGGCGTGTTCCTTTCTCAGCCTGCTTTGAAGCTAGCAATTAGGCTGTAGCCATTGGTGGCCTTTTATACCAGCTTTGTGGTTTCATGTTAGGCTTATTTCCAGCCTGGATCTCGAGTCTAGTGCCAAAACACATGCTAGGGAAAGCCCTCTGCCCATGTAACCTATTCTGGACCTGTCCCCTTTCCTCCTCTTGCGTCTGGTTAGCTCCTTCCCAGGTTCCTTTCCCGCTTCCATAGGCTTCCCACTTGCAACATGATTCACTGCGGATTTAGACGTCCTTTCCAGAAGGCTGCATTTCCAATCAGAAACTGCATGTATTTTTAATTCTGAGAGGAATTGAATGCACAGGAAAAAAAAAAACCCAAACATTTTCCCCCCTGAGACACAGCAACTGTTTTATTTCTTCCTTAGTTCCTTCTTTGCTCAGATGAGGGCTGTAACCATAGCAGTGATGCCTCAGAGCACAGCCCTGCTCTCCAGGAAGGCCTGGAAGCCATTTGGAGGCCACTCGCGCTTCGCATCTACGTCACTTGGGCCCACAAGTGCTCAGATCTGAGAACCCAGGCCCGAAGGCAGCTGGCAGCACCGCCCTGGTGGGTGTCACTACCCTTCTGACGGGGACAGATGGATGCAGAGTGACGAGGCACGTTTTGTCACAAAGCGGCAAGATGTCAAGTCCCACGGGAAATGCAATATATTAGATGCTGGTCTTCTAAATCCCACATACTCTAGCGTGTGCGCTGTAATCCCTGCTTAAGAGGCGCCTGATTCGATCCGCATGCTTTTCCAGGTTTGTTTCTGAAAGATACGGCCACAGCTATTTCTCCCTTCTCTCCTACGCTCTTGGTCTTCAGGCTCCCTCAAGATACAAACACATGGTTGGCTGGCTCAGCTTATTGGCTCCTCTCAAGTATTTTCCCCTATTGTTCTTTCATTTGTTTTCGGATTGCTGATGCCAGAACTATGCTCTTGGTGCTGGGGATGCACCCCAGAAGCGTTTCCCAACACTTAACTCTCTCCTGCTGGGAACCCGGCGCGCCTCAAGCAAGACCCATTTCCACTTTACTTGTCTCACCTCGAGCGATCCTGAGAACCCTCATGATTCGGATAATAGTGGGGTTAATTGGTAGCGACGCGTTCACCTCAATCTCCTCCAGAGTGATGCCCATGATAGACAGCAGCACAATTGCCAGATCTAATTGGTTCCATCTGGAGACGACACAAAGTGAAGTTTAACGTCTACTAAGAACTTGGCCACGGGAGGTAGCTTGTTTCACATAAATTCCAGGCATTTCAATGGTGCTAACACTCAGATGAATCTCCAGCATTTTTTTTCTGAGGGTATTATACAAAAGCAGTTATGTTATGAAATCATTATAACTAATACAGCGCATTATAATGTATTATAAACTCAGCTAATTCCAAAGATATTCTTGACTGAGGGGAAGCAAAAGCAAATGCAGGGCAGAGTTTTCTACCCAGAGACTGCAGATCTACAGGCGGGTTGTGCATCAGCTATTTGGCCAATTTTAGACACGACATTCACGAACCTCAGCATGAGATTTGCCCTAGAAAGAAGCAGACCCACACCCCATCTTTGCAACAAAAAAATCACCCTGGGCAGGGGAAAACACTACGGATGCATTTCGGAATCCGGATTGCAGGGGGGACGAGCGGGACCATCTCCCCAGTAGGGCTGAATAACTCATGTCTGATCCTGTTCTCTTGCCATTAACTTTGAAGGAGGTGAAAATGGGAGGGGAAAGTTTTAACAAAGACATAAAATTCCTATTTGTGAGGTAAGAGAGTGAAGAGAGTGTGCAGAAAGAAGTAATTTCATCTGCTGCTCAGCATCCTCATAAAAAGAGGTTCCTTCTTTCATTTGTGTCATTTTCATTTTCTCATTAGCTGCTCTTGCACTGAGAAAACCCGCAGCCTGCTCAGGACCAGGCAGTCCCTCGTGGCACAAATTCTGTCACTTCTCTAGGTCCTGGTGACCATCTGGACTCCAAGCTGGCAGCAAGAAGAGGGTCAGGTGCCCACCACGCGACTCACTCTTCTTTTGTCCATGCACGAAGCGGTAGATCCCTGTGGGTCACACTCCTTCACGTGGCTCCTCATCTCCCCAGCTCCCCTGCCCACCACCCTGTTCCACCAATGGGCCCCACAGGTTGACTGGTAGTAGCTTTGAGAAGAGCCACAGGGTCCCAGACACAAACTTCACCACCACCAACTTTGCCCATCTGTCTCCAGCTGCCCACCTTCTGCCACGTGGCCCAAATTTAGCCTTTATTTTTCACTTTTTTTTACCTGTCTTGAAAGAAGCGACGAAAGCCAAAGGCAATTAGCTTGAAAACAGACTCGAGGACAAAGATGACGGTGAAGATGTAATTGCAAATCTTCAGGGCTTCATCGAGAATCTGCAACAGGGACAGGGCACCAAGGTGAGACGCCCGCTCAGCTGAGGGGCGGTGCTGCCAGCAAACCTGCCCTCTCCCCTCACCAGGATTACTCATTTTGCAGCAAGAGACCCAAGGCTGCAACTGTGGCTCCTCTCAGGATGACTAATGTCCCTGAGAAAAGGCCCAGTTCTTCACAAAGCACCAAGCTGGCACTTGAGCCTGGCCCCAGCCCAGCTGATGTAACTCACGGGAGGAGGTGACACAAACCCTGCAAACTGCTCAGGTGAGTGAAAGCCACCACAGACAGGGCAAAACCCCGGTGCTCCCTGAGGAAAACTGGTTTCCAGGCCACTCATTCATGCACTGCTGCAAGCTACCCTGGCTGGGGCAATTTTGGAGCCCTGATTGATCCAGGCACTCAATCATGTGCCCGGCTCTCAGCAGAGGACCCATAATGTCATCCCAGCTCAGCCCAAGCTTGGAGTTATTACCCAGATGCTGCATACCAGAGGCTTTGAGACAAAATGTTATTTTCCTCAAGAAAATTAAACCCAAAAGCCTGCCCAACATTTTTATAAGGCAAGAGAAAATGTAACTGCAAAGCGGTTGTGGCAAGGCGCATGCCCTAGAGCAATTCCAGCACCAGCTCCTTAGCCAACAACCTTTTCCATCACCAAATGACTGAATCATGCAATGCGCCTTCCAGGGTATTTAAAGGTGACCTGAACAGGAAAAAATAAATAAATAAATAAATAAAATTGGGCTTGTGCCCTTTCACTTTTTGGCTTCTTTATGACAGGCTGGAGGCTATTTTCCCCCTTGCTTTGGTTTCTTTTTTACATTAAGAATTCAAGTCCTGTCTAGTATTAAAGAATATTTCCTCCTATTGTGCCTTATATTTATTCATTCTGAAAGTGGCTAATAAAAATAAGCACAAGTTATATGGCAAAGGCAGCTATTTCCATCTCATTCTTATGCACAAGCCTTGACGTCCCAGGACAGGATGTTTTATTTTCAGTATATGACCGCGACCCAGGAACCTTTTTCACTAACATACTGAAGTATATTTTAAGGCCCAGCCAAGGCAGGTACTCCAGTGCCTGTGAAAATTAGCCTTTAGGGGGCAGGGGAAAATAGAAGGATCTTTGCAAAATGAAAGATGTCGCAAATTCTTCTATTCTTCTTGTCACTTTTCCCCTTTTTGTGAGGAGGTTGGATCAGAGGAGCAATTTCAGAGATGACCTCTTCCAGCTCCCCACAGAAAGGTGCTCCCATTCTCACTTTCAAAGCACTTGGGTTGCACTTATTGAGAAGGGAGAGGTGTGAGGAGGACATCAAAACCAGCCTCAGCTCCTCTCACCAACCCCATCCTGCCACTGTCCAGCAAGTGCCCTCCTCTGCTCCGGTACCTTTGGCTGCTGGTAGTGCTCCATGGCCATGGTGATGACGTTGAGGCCGATCACCCCCGTGATGAACAGATCCAGGTAGTGGCTCGTGCACATCTGATGGATGAGGAGCCGCAAGCGGGAGTAATCGGAGTAGTAGGGCTTGCACTGCGCTTCTAGAGCCGGGAGGACAAGAGCGGAGAGGCACGTCAAGTCATTCCTCTGCATCTGCCTGTGCTCAACTCACCCTTGCTTTCCAGACGCCAAAGATGATAAACTTGAGACCGATCACAAAATTCTAATTTTTTTTCCCCCCTCCTTCTTTCTGGCACATTACCAGTATTACACAGCTGGGCTCCCATCACCTAATATCCATTAAACATCTTCAGTGGGACATGCAGTATACTCAGCCTTATTGCATCAGGGATGAGGTGAGCCGGGTTTATTGCGCTGCTAACGCTGCTAAAGAGTGCTTTCGCCGTGGAGAAATCTAAATTTAATTTAATTTAAATTAAAACCACAATTTTTGTTGGTGCCGCTCTTAAAATATCCCCGAGGTATCTGAGAGGCCAATCAACGGTCAGATGCCGGGGAAAGATTTTACTAACAACGCCTTAAAAACACAGGGAAAGAAAAAGAGAGGAAAGTAATACAAATTATTCTCTTCGCCATAAAGTGCAGAGAGAACAAAATTCCCCACTTTGACTGTCGGAGCCCTGGGAAACGGTCCGTAAAAATACCAAGGAAAACTGATCAGCCAGCCTTAGCGATCAGAAAATAATGATCCTCCTTCCATACGTGATTATCAGGGTATGGATTTCACTGTTCAGCTCATTCTCGCTGTGCCGGGGATGACACGTGCTCTTTAGACCCCAAATGTTCCCGGAGATAAACTCATTTACTCACCTAATCTCTAATGAGGAAATGCCAAGGCTGAGTATGTAATTCAGTACAGTTTTCAAGGAGGCATTATAATGCAGATGGAAGTGGAAAGGACTGTCTTGAATATGTCAGAGTATAATATCGCTCTCATAATTAGATGATCAACTGGTTATGAAAATTATTGAGCTGTAAGAATTCCACGGCTTGATATTTAGTGCCGCTGAGTTAATGTACAGTTTGATACATGACTCCGAGCAAAATGTTGGGCAGAACGAAGCCACAAAGCCCAGGTTTGGGTTGCCCAGAGGGAAAACTAATTTTAGAAGATTAAATTTTGCCTGGAAATAGAATTCACTTTGTCAATAGCTGATGACACTGCAGTCAGACCCATAGATTTAATGGTATCTTGTGTTCCCGGCTTCGTAGCAGAATCCGGAAAAATCAGAGTTTTGTTTTTTCCAGAGACAGGCTTTTCCCTCCAGCCCAGGGACCAGAGAGACAAATCCTTTAGCAGTTGTATTCTGGAGGGCTTTGGAACTTCCAAAATTCTGCTTCATAAAAGAAAAGGCAGTATTAATATTCACTTTCTGATCTGCAGCGCGCTCCAGGTGATCTGTACCGGAGGGCTACAGCACAATATCGATGAAAAGGTCTATAAAATGAATTTTAATGCTGAATCTATTGAGTGCTTACAGAAAAAAAAAAGGAAAAAAAGGGAAGAAAAAAGGCAGACTGGTAGCTTGCTGACTCACTCATAAGACTTTGTCGGATATCTCAGAGTCTGCATAAATCTCCATAAAGTCAAGATATCTCGATCGCATTATGCTAAATTATGAGTAGCAAATTAACTAAAATGTTTGAATACAATTAAGTTAGGAATAGGACCTATTTTTATGAACCAACTTATCATCTCAGAAAGAAACACCATCATAATTGGATCACTTGGTTCTTCTACGTTTATGTATAATTCACATTCCAAAAGAAAAATGTCAATGTTTCTGCCTTTTCTTGCAGTGGATTTACTTATGAATAATTACACTGGAATTCAAATTTCTTCTCAGCTTTGATTGACAGGTAATTCCAAATCCTACAGAATAGCACTGACGTGGTTAGAACATAGAGAGGATTTAGCAAGAGGTTGTAAAAAGTCTCCTGTGCAGAGGTTCTGCACCTGGATTAGTTAGTGCACGACTTCATAAGCAGGGCTGCTAATTGCTCGTCTATCTGCAAAGGCTCTTTCCCTTTTTGCATCCCCCTGCTCCCAAACGGCGAGGCTGCTTCCAGCTTTCCGCCCGCACCCGCGGCTTGCCGAAGCCTGGCCTGGAGCTGGGCGCTGCTGTCGCAGACACACTTGCAACCTCAGTAAATTAGCGCCCGCGAACGTGTCGTCCTTCCCCATTAACTTTATGGAGAAGGGATTTGTCAACCCTGTTTATGAATCATGGCACCACTCGCTGCTTCATTCCCTGCATGCCGGCCATGCGGGTTAGTGCAATACAGATATTACCTTGCAACGAGCTACAAACAAAAATAGCATGCTGTCCAAGCACCACGAACCATTAGCTACTGTATCTAGGTAGGCAGGGAACTTTCTGAGCACACAAACTGCTTTTCTGGCCATTATATAAATACAAATCATTAAGACGACCCACATGTCCTGCGTATTAAGTTGGATATTACTCATATATAACCACGCAAGGGTAAAGTCCCTGCCCCCTATCACACAGCAGCACTCGGAGTTATTGCAATAAAGATCTCAACAATACCAACATCTTGGGAAATACAGACATCTGTTAAGCTCCAGGTGGTGAACTTCACAACTAACACAACACCACATTACTGTACTGTTACAATACACTGTGGCAAGAACAACAAGAGCTCCGGGTTAGTCTTGGTTATCACTGGCAAGGTTAAACTGGCTTCCCAGCACACGGGGCGTTAAAGAAAAGAGTCGGAAAGCAAAGAAATGAAAGAAAGGAGGACTGGCAGAATGAGGATGCGAGAAGATGGGAAATACAGCAAAAGCCCTTGACGAAACATCAGGCTGGTAAGCGGGATGTAAATCAAGCTGCTTCACTGGCGCTGGAGGCCAAGAGTGGGAGGGAGAGATTCCACTGATTTACAGGATTTACACTAGAGAAAATTAGCACAGGCTGATTGATCCTGGGCCCCAGGTGGGTGAGGATTTGCAGCTTGCCCGGAATCAGCTGCAGAGTCGCCGTTGGTCCTGGAAAGGGGTGGTCGGAGGTTGCTGCTGCTCCAGAACTAACTCTGGCTTCATGCCAAAGGGCTCGCCACTCCGGCCGTTTCCTGAGCGGACTTCTCCCTTCTCCTCTCTCCAGCATCCCGCTGCGGCCACAAAGGACTCCCTTGCCAGAGCAGGGGAGCTGGCGACGGTGCCCATGGGCTGCCCTGCAGGTAGCCCGAGGCTCCGTGTCCCCTTCGCCCGTCTTCCTGCCCGGTTGCGCTCATCGCGTGCCAGTCTGGAGAGGAAACCACCATCGCTGCCGATCGGAACAAACGCTTGGCGTTTCTCAGCCTGCTCTGGACACCTTTGCACCGACTTCTGCTGGACACAGGGTGGTTTCTCCACGTTTCCAGCCAACAGAGACACTCGCGCAGATGTTGGCATCGCCAACGGCCAGGGCACAGCCAGGACCCGGAGGTCTCCGCGGTGTCTGTGCGGAGCCTGAAGGAGAAGGTGCCTCTTCCCATCGAGCGCCGTTCTCGCTCCAAAATGGGTCTGTCACTCAAGGAGCCCGGCCGGCGCCGAATATAGCTCTGTCAGCAGAGAAATTACCACTTTCCCCCGCGTCACTCCGCAGCCGGAGCCGTGCGGGCACGGGAAATTGGAATTTGCAAGAGTTGGACAATTCCATTACGGCCTCCCCGCTCTTTTCCCTTCTCCTATAATAAGGGAATTAACTGCTTAGCAGCTCAGAGCGGAGCCTGAGGACAGCAGCGACCTGGTGAGCAATGGGCCCGTGACGCAGCTGGATTTACAAACGGTACCAAGAATATTATTAGGTTAAAAAAGTAGTTTGCACGGAAGGAACTTTTATATTTAAACACGGCATTTTACTCGGCTTTTATTGTACTGAATGGGTTTATTAAAAAGAAAAAAAAAGGCAAAATGGAAAATGATAAATTATTTCCACTGAGAAGCTTCCAGTTGTGATAGAACATGGATCGAAATTAAAAAAAAAAAAAAAGGAAAAAATAAAATTATAGCAAAAAATAAAATTATAGTATCTCACTAAGCACCAGGCTAGAGCACAGGCACACAATACCCCACCTTATCTTCACATAGAGAGAAAAGAAGCCCTTTGTAAGCGCAGAGACGGGGGCGAGTTTGGGGTTGGCCACTTCAGCTCCCTCCCCGAGCTACAGGAGGTTCGTCTGGACCATCCGGGATCGAGTTCCTAACATCACAGGGAGCCCGATGGAGCCAGGAACCTCCCTGTTCTCTCACTCGGGGGCCCGGTGAGCAGCAGGGCATGTTCACGGCATCCAAAGCGAAGGCAAAAAAAGGGAACACAAAGCACGGACCTGACAACCGAGGAACCACGAGGGTCCTTCTGAGCCCGCGTTGGACAACGGCGGGGACTGGAATGAGTTGGACGCATTCAAAATACAACAAAATCAACCAGGCTTGGTTTAATTGAACAGAAGAGGACTCAGAACTGAATCAAAGAGGATAGAACAACCCCCAGATGCAGCAAGAACACAGCCCCTGTGCCCCAGCAGAGGACAGGTCTACCAAAAACAGCGAGAAGAAAGGCCAAGAAAGCGGACAGACAGGAACGGCAATGGGAAGGAGGGTCGGGATTTATTAAAGCATGTTGTGACAACTTCCAACAGGCCTGAAAAGCACAAACCAGGAATCTGTCTCCCTGCGTTATCCTCTGCAGAGGAAGACTAGCCCTGCTCTTGCAAACCTGTATTCACTCAAACTGCCTTTGATGCCTGGCAGATGGATGGAGCCTTGCTTCCCATCTCCGGGAGCAGGAGCTCCCATCACAGGTGAGAGTTTTAATGGCACGTTTTCCTAGCAGCTTTTTGTTGTTGTTGTTGAAAATTACAGCGATGTTTGTTCCTACGGCGGCACCTCTTTAATTATTCAGGCTAATATTCAATGTAAGCTATGAATTAAACAAAACGCTTGCCAGATCAAAGCTTCTTCTGAAAATATTAAAAAAAAAGAGCAAGGGACAGATCTGCAGCCCTGAGCATCACCAGGCAAAGGGAGAGGGGAGACAAGGACTAGACCCATGGCAGTTATTGGCACAGCTGGTCCAGGCTCCCCACGTCTTGGAAAGCGAGTGAAGGGGCATCTTTATTCCCTCTGATTGACACATCATGGATGATACAGGAGAAATGATTCTGTGGGAAGGTGAGGCTAGGGAAAGGAGTAGAGAGCTGGGGGAATCAGGGAAAATATTGGCCTCATCACTATCTTTGCTGTGCAATTTTGGTAGAATATGCAGTTGAAGCCTGAAAAATTCCAACTTGGTTTGAATCAATGTGAGAAATTTACCACTTTGGAAGCACTAAGGATAAAACCTGTCCACACTGAGGGTCAGAGTGGGTTGGTATCTCCATTGAAGCACAGAAGCTCTGCACTGTAGTGAGCTTTACGCTGATGGAGAAGCCTGTGCTTCCCCAGAGTGCAGCATTCATGGAGCAATGAGCAAGGGCTGGGGAAATATCTCCCGCAGCGAGACCGCCTGCCTCCCAGGGCTGCTCCTGCAGCAATCCACACTCCTATAGCTGGTGGTTCAAATGCCAGAGCGAGCGCTACAGGACCCATCTCACAGGCCAGTCATTATTCTCCAAACAATTAAAAAATAAAAAACAAAAAGACAAAAAAAAAAGGCACAAAGGTCTGACAGCATTTTAACGAAAACCAGAAAAAAAAAATGACTGAAAAAAAAGGAAACAACTTATGATCAAGGTGGAAATTAAGGATCTGGAAGTGTCGGCCCTGCCGCAGGCCTGCAGCCCTGCGGTTCAAAACGGGATGCGTGTGCCGGGAGGGAAGCGAACGAGCTTTGCACCACACACACGGTTTAGTGGGACGCCCGAGAGCAGCGTGGCCAGCCGTTAGTTACACAGCACCGCCATTCACGGGGGACGAGACGTGACGACTTCCCAGTACCTTGCACTGCACTGGCTGAGCTCTCCATTAATACATCATCCAGCATTAGATCTAAAAGAACGAAACGGCGTTAATCACCCGGCAGGACACACAGCAAGACTTCCCTTCCCCTTCAGCGGTGGCTACGTCTTGAGCTCTCTCCTCATCTCTGCACTGCCTCTGCCACCAGTATCTCCTTGCAGCCTCCTCTCCTCGCATCTCCTGCCAGGTGGGCTCAGGTATGGTGGGAAGTTCTGGTGTTCAACGAAGGGCTCCTGTGCTTTTCCCACATGCAAGTGGGCCCAAAGGATCCTGGAGAACGCCCTGGCTTGACGATAATGGAGGAGGAGATGCTGGTTTCTCAAGGATGGACTTTGTGCCTGAGGTAGGGCAGAGCATCCTGCTGGGCCAGCACACCTTACAGTGACAGGTCCTAGACCTCACTGCACTGGGCCCTCACCTGTTCTTCTCTTTTATTGGATGTCCCATGGGGCAAATGTGTGTGAAGAGTCTATGAACAAAAATGACCACAAAACTGGTTAGACCTTCATGCAAAAACGGACTTGACCAGGTTGGCTTGGGTATTAGGCTGTACCAGTGAAGGGAGGGAGGCATTAAGCTACACCAGTGGCTGGCAGGGAGCCCCCGTGCAGTTGCTGGCAAGATCAAAATCCTCATCATGGCTCTCAGATGCTAGTTACCACCACAGAAAATGAAGCCAAGCAACAACATCTGCCATCTCCCAGGGCAGAACTGGACATGGTCAATTAAAACCAATATTTTACTGAATACAAATCGGGAAAAACAGTTCTGAAGTGCTTTGGAGGGCTTCATGCTTTGCTCTTGGAAGGTTTTTATAGAGACTGAGTAGTCAGCAATATTTGATCCTCAATAAAATAGCTGTTTATTGCCTCTTTAATTAGACATTTCATAGAACTGAATAAATAGCTACATCTCCAAGGATGGCTTGTGACTTCTTCCCACTGGGAAATTGCCCAGCCTCATGTCTTTTCTTTACCCCGTTCCTCTACCATTATAACTGAGGTCATTAATAATAACTAAATGTCTATTTTTCTTCTAAGGAAATGTCTGCTTTCCAAAACTGAAACTTTGAACAGGGATCTTTCTATCCAATGTTTAAGAGCATTTTCTTAATCACCTGCCTGAAAACAAGTTAGGTAACTTAGACTGACTGAAAGAGCTTTCCAGGTATTGCCTTGAAGTGAAAAATAAAGAAATTCATTCAATTTGCATCCTACTTAACTGAGCAAAGTCTTAAGTGTCCTGCATGACTCTTGAGGGAAGTCTTTCCGTTGCGTATTGAGCAAGCCAGACTCTGGGCATATGCCCAAGTTTGACACCCAGAGGCCGGTACAAATATACCTTCTAATAAAACCTGCAAGGCTGAGGGAAATTAAAGACATAAGCCAGGGGAAGTGGAGCTTGAGTGCTATTCCGAGAGAGGCTGAGACACACTTGTGTTATGTGGTTGCACAATTAACACCTTTTGGACCATTAAAAAAAAAGAAAAAGAGACTTAATGTTGCCAGTGTTCAGAACAAGCACCTGATCAGAGAGCCTCTTAAACAGGACTGAAGTCTGTCAAAGATAGAGAAGAGACGTGAAAGGGGAAACGGAGCAGACGGGAGGCAGACTGAACGGGGAGGGACAGAGTGCGATGATGGACACAAGGGGCACTGGAGGAAGGTCAGTCAGAAGAGAAGCATGCAAGACAGAGAAAAGTACCTTGGCCTGAGACCTCTGGCTGACTTATTTCTTACTTTTCCAACCAAATTAAAAAAAAGAAAAGGAATAAAAAACAAAAGTCAGGTCTGAGATTTCTTGACAGAGTGGAGGTGTAGCATTTTTTCACCTTTAAAGCCTCCTCCAGGCAGGGCTGCAAGCTTGTATGGTGAGTTTTGGAGCTTGGTTCAATTTGCATCAATGACATTTTGTTTAACTAGTTAGTCTTCTCCGCTATATTTTATTTTTCCTAATCTGTATTTCTCAAGCAAATACATTGATAGGTATCTCTAAGGGGTTTTTAAGTATTACTAGAATGAGATGGCTCCATTATTTTATTACATACTTGAATAGCAGTGGTGCTACCGTGCCAATAAATAAACCTGCTTGACAAATGGGACAGGTAACATCACTGTGGCATTACAAGGCTGTAATAAACCAAATAGTGAATCCAGTTATCAGCAACAGTGCTCATGACTCAGATGATTTATGGTGCCATCCGGCACTGCTGATCTTTGCAGTTGTCACTATTTGTGTAATATTGAGCTCTGCTACCCAAGAAGCTCCAGGTTTGATTTTTGAAGGGGTTTTAACTTAAATAACCTCCAATGGAAAGGTCGTTGCAAATCATGCAGCCATTAAAAAGGCTTCCATAGCTCCTTGCTTAGCCTAAAACGGCGCTACTTCCTTCATGCAAATTTCATAGCTAGACATGCTTTGGGGAGAAGAATGATCACCGGACACTAGGCAGGGAGGAGAGGGAGAAGGGGATTGCGTGGAAGGTCAAGCAGGACTCAGAAAGATGTGGAAAGACTACCGACCAGCCATCTGTTTCTCCTTACTCCTTCTCTTTTTCTCCAGCCGGCGAAGTCTCTTCTCCTCCCGCCTCTTGGCTTCTTCCTCCTCTTGGTGCTGCCGACACTTGTGGAAATTCTCCACCACGACCCCCACAAACATGTTGAGGACAAAGAAGGCGACAATCAGCAGGAAAGAGATGAAGTAAAGGAGCATCCATGGGTTGTAGTTCATGACCGGCTGCAAAGTGAAGGACGGCAAATGTCAACGGAATCTCCGAAGAACGGAAACAAATTGAGTGGTGAGATACACGGTCTTTAAAGCAGGACCAGTGAAGATTCCCAAATCGTCCACAGTGCTCTGTTCTACCAGCAAATGAGAGCCTTCTGGGACATTTTGATTGAATACTCCCCAAATTCAAGGCACCTTTATTACAGAAGAACTGTGTCTGTGCAAAGGCTAGGTCCAAATTCAGACCGTTCACTTGACTCTCTGTCATGTCTCAGACTTAGATTAATGAGCAGCCTCAACCCCAACTCCCTAAGCAGTCTGGTTGTGGAGAGTGACAGTATTTTGCAAGACAGAAGTTAAAGCGAGCCACTTCTGTTAACTCACACCTTACAGTTTTTTTGGAGCACATACCTGCTGGTCAACTCCAACAGCATCCAAGCCATCGTACATGATATCCACCCATCCATCCTTGGAGGCCAGAACAAACAGAGACATCAGGGCCTAGAAATACATGGACAAAAGTTACACATAGTTGCACATAGTTTTTACCTGTAATATTTTACTCTTCTTTGCCCTTTCCTGTTGAAGGGATTATCATTACCTCTCTGATAATGGGGAACTTTGATGCCCAAGGTTTGCCCTGGCAGCAATAACCTATCAATGTCAAAGCTTGGTTCAGCAATGAGTGCTAATTCAGAAACCATAAGGCCAAACACAAAGGCATCTTCATTTTCACCCTCCAGGTCTCTACTGCTCCCTACTAATTAGTCCCTGCATGCTGCTAAAACGAGGCTGCCTTGCAGAGACGTTTGACGGTGTCCAGTTCTATTAGACAAGCCCTTCTGCAAGGTATATTTGGTTTGTTATGTAGTGGTGAAGCAATTAAGGACTCCACGAAGCCACATGTGCTTGTTCTGTTCTGAAAAAAAGCAGTGTATGCCAGCTTGGAAACACTACATTGGGGATTTATAGTGACAGTGTTGTGTATGTGAACTGAATATTTACTGCGGCTGGTAGTGCCCTGAAAGAAAATCCCTTGGGATAACAACACACAAGTTTAAAGTCAAGGAGGTAAAGGAGCAAAGAAGCAGATTACCATTCTATTAATACCTGGCCGAGATTATCAAAATTATACTTGTGCCGGACCCATTTGTAGCTTGCTTCTGCACAATCCGATTTATTTGTGATGTTTCTGGTGTCCTCCCCCTGGCAGATAAAAAACTTCCCTTTGAAAAGCTGAAAAAGAAAAAACCACACACAACGAAGAGCAGAAATGTAAGAGTGCAATCTCCAGGATTTCTCTGCAGAGAATGGACATTCCTCATGGGATATTCCGCCCAGCCCACGCAGAGCAGATAAGTTACGGGAAACAGCCTCATCCGTGTGGGTTATTAAGTGTGAGCAGCCTGTACAGTATGTACCTAATGAGCAAGTGCATGATTTCACATCATTTAGGACACCCACCTAGAGCATTAGATCGCCTGGTTCAGTGGTCTGAGACTGGCCTACAGGTCGTTGCTTCTAGGTGGCCAGTTCAAGTCTAGCCCAGGCTAATAGCTGAGACCGTTTAATGGCTTCTTCTGACATGTGGAATGACTCCAGTGACTCTCAGCCCAGCTAACGATGCTGCTTTCAAGAGTCACTGACAAATTAAGTGTAATGGGGGCCCTCTGCTACCAGAGCAAAGGCAGCACTAACGAGCCACAGTGCTGGAACTAAGCTCTTTTTCTTACAGGTCCAAAGGGGACTCTGGGGAGAGAAGGCAGCTCTTGGCTACTGCTGTTGGGCTGCTTGGCGAGTCCAGGCTGCAGTTTGCAGGGCTGTCAGTCTAGTTGCAGGGCAATCAATCTGCCGGTTGCGCTCAGTCTCTCATCTTGAATGCTGCTCTCCACACATCATTAGGAGCAATCAGTGTGGGGGGCTGTGGAAACATTCCTCACGCCTCCTCCTTAAGGAGTCAGGTCTGGCTGGTGCCTGTGTCTTATCCTGACCTTATTTCCTTTGGGGTAAACCAGGAGAGATGTAGCGCCTGGGGAGTTAACTCCTTAGACGTGCAAGATCAGCCTCCATGTACTTAATTCCAGAGCTGGCACTTCCCGCACACGGGAGAGCACGTGGCAGGGAATGATTACTGCTCGAGACAGCCTGATGGATGCTAGCAGAACGGATGGTCCCAGAGCCCCTGGGACACCTAACAAATCGGGTTTTATTTGCTGACAGAAGCTATTGACATTAGCTAGCCCTGCTTGGGGAAGACGGCAACCTGTTCTTCAGGCTCCTTAAACACCACCGGGGTATATGGAGAAAAGATGCTGATGGTTTTTGATCTGTTGTTCAAGACAAATATCGCCTCAAATTAAAAAAGTGAACACGGCAAACCCACGTTATTACTCCGTGGGTTTCCTTCAGGAATCAACAGCAACAGAAGGATGTTCTCCAGGCATGCAAAGTTAATCACTGCTCCACAATCATCAACTTCTGGATGTAAGAAGAAACACCCGCCCTGATCTTTCCATAGAGAAGCACTAAGCATGTGTAAGGCAGGCTGGGGAGATATAGTCTTCACAGACCCAAAAGTTTTAATTAAGCAGGAAGGTAAACAACTGATTTTAATATATTGTCTATAAATACAATTTCTCTAGGAGCTGGACTGCAATGCCAGTCAGATGGGAGCAGTAACACAGCTATTAAATGGGTTTGGAAATACAAAGCTCAATTTGCAAGGAAGCAGCTCACCGGCTGCTCTTCAACTGGAGCTACAGAGTTTCAGCACTTCTGAAGGACCTGACATTCGTTAGTGTTGTTTCCTGATTAATTTCTTGCTTAAGTCTAATTAATGGCTATTAATGTGTGGCCATGTTCTACAATAAAAACTCTTGCTTAAAGGATACATCATTAGAAACCTGGGAGTCTGCATATTAATGACATAAAAACTACGAACCGCAGTTTTATCTCCAGCTTATATTTACAGGGAAAACCCACTGTAATTTTGAGACATCGTTTTCTTTTTATAGCAGTAGTTATGGCCCTTATCTTGTACCTAATTAGACATAAATATTAACTGAGATTTTGCATCCTGAATACAGGATCAGTTGTACTTGTAGCTACTGCTTAAGCATATCAATAGTCATGACAATTCAACTTAAGACTGCAAGCCACTAGGGAAAGCAATCACAATTAGCAGGAAGGAAATACGAAGAGCATATTGCAAATTCTGTTGTTTGTCATAAATTTTCCCTTGTCTTAGTTTTGTACTCTTTTATGGAATATGGTTAGTTTTATGAACCTGTTTAGTATAATGGATGGGTATTGCTGTGCTGTGCTGCTAAGCCAATCTATCCACTTAGACAGTTATGGATAGCACGATTTTTTTTTTCTTTGTTTATTTTCATTGCTGTATTTATTATTTAAACAGTATATTACTGTAAGATATTGCATAAGACACCTTTCCAAAGCAAAGCAAAACAGAGAGGCTTTCCAAAGCTGGTTATGACAGATCAGATAAGCCTCAGAAAGAAATGTCTTGTGTCATAAAATTCATACAAAACAATCTCTCCTTTTCAGATAACGAGAAACCAATTGCTTTGGAAACTCTGCTGCTTTTTTTCCCACTGGGTTCCTGCACTCCTGGGATTGAGGATATTGCTAGCAGTGCTGGTGCTGAGCAGATTCAGAAATCTCTATCTCTACAAGCTTTCTTGCAGAACTGTCAGGATTCTGAATGAATCTCCAGGTCAGATTTCTCTATGTTTTACAAACTAATGGTTTCAGCTTTGAGAATTTCAATTTCCCCACAGGTTTAAACCTAGAAGAAAGGTGGAGGGAGATGTCCCCATGCTACCTCACGCATGGAACAGCAGTGAGATTTTTGCTTCCCTGAACAGGGACAGCACCACTTTCTGGTGGTGCCTCATTCCTCAAGCCCAGCCCTACTGTGGGATGATCAGGGGGAAGGGAGTGGTGGGAGGTGGTGCGGAGTCTCATGGGGGGCTCACCTGAACTCCCAGGATCCCAAAGATAATGAAAAAGGCACAGCAGATGACCACGATGTTCCCGATGGGCTTCAGGGACGACATGAGAGTCTCTACTACCAGCTTCAGTCCTTGGGCTCGACTAATGACTCTGTGGGAGAAGTAAGCACAAAAGCTGTGTTAGTCCTCCTCTTGTCCACTTCTGCATTCCTCCAGGATGGAAGACACGCAGAGAGCATCAGAGAGAGGAGAAAAAAGAAAAGAGCTTCTTAGAAGGGCAAAAGCCTCAAAACCATGACAGGAGATGGACCTTAGAGATTATTGGGCTGTTTGAGGGAAAAGGGTTTTTGCAGCTTTGATTGAAAGAGAGGGAAAAATGCTCTGAATAAGCAACCAGGTCTCTGGAGAGTGCTTCAAAATTTCTAGGAATGGAAGACATAGAGACTACCCCTACAAATTTACAAATGTAGAATAATGGTTTTAATCTAACCCACTCTCTGTGATCTCCTGATCATGGTCTTCTAATTACAGTTCATTAAAATACATTCAAGATGTTGGTGCTTTCCTTTTACTGTCATTCAACCCAAAGGGTTCAAAGCTTCTCTGGGATCCTGTTGCTTTGGGTCATCCACAAACACACACCTCACAGTTGTAGCTAGTCCAGGACTGCAAAGAAAGGCTCTCCCAGAGCACATTCTCGAACAGTTTGAGGTAAAGCTCTTCATTTGCCTGTTTGTAAAATGGAGTAGTCACTTTTATACAACAGACACAGATCTGTCATAAGCCAAGCTTTGTATGTGTCCTCACAGTGCTATCACGTACAGAGTCCCGAGCTACCTGCTCTGTACCGTAACTGCCTCAGCTTTGTAGCTGCTCTACAAGGTCAGATACAGAAGCAGCAATGTCATCCAGGTGACAACTTCACCAGCAGGTCCATAATGGTCTAATCGCATTTCTGTAGCACCTGTGTCTGCTGCTGCACAGAATTTCATAACAGGGATTAGATTATACTCAGAGATGAGAGAGACTAATGTGGACAATATCCTGACAAGCGCAGGTAGGAAAATGAAAGAGAAGAAGCCGTGCAGGACTCTCAAGGACACCACCACAGTGAAAGGACCAAGCTTGTAGTAGAGAAACCATCCCATCCTGCTGGGCAAGAACATGTTAGCTTATCCAAGCTAACATAGTGGTGGAGGGCTGAGGGACTGACAAACACTTCTGAAGAACGTCTACCTCCCCATGGTCCCTGCGGGAGGTCAGCATTTCCCTAGCTCTGTAAATTGAGGTGCACTAAGGCTAGGAAGCAGTGCATTCCCATGGCACAAACTGCAGGAGGGAAGCACCTGCATTCTTCTGGGTACTGGCTCATGACTCCTTTCAATGACTGGTACTCAAAAGTGCACCAAAATTCCCATAAACTGCCCTCACTGCATCGCCTGCTTGGCCCCAAGTCCAGGCACACACCTAAGGCAAAGTTCTGAGTTTTGATACCTGGAGAAAATCTCATTTCTCCTCCTCTCTCTGCCTTTGCCAGGCTATGATGTTCCCAGCAGGGGTCCCCATGGATGCATCCACATTATGGACATCCCTGACCTTAACCTGTGTGGGCCGACCCAGCGGGACCCAGGCCAAGCCTGCAGGAATCCTCTTCTGCTCCCAGTGCCCCCAGGTTTAGAAAACTGCAGTGCTCAGTGCACAGACTTCTTTCTTGGAGGAGAAAAAAAAAATGCTGGCTTTGAACAGTATCTTGAAAAGCTAAAAAATATTTCCTTCTTTCTGATTAAATATTTGCTCCAAATGTCAAGGGCAAGTCATCAATTATCCTTTTAAAAAGAAACATATGGTGATATTTTTATCCCTTCTTTTACCAATGGAACACAAAAGGCAGATGCTTCCATTCCTCAGCCCAGGCATCTCTTCCAGGTAGCTGCCACAGACACTTTGGCTCTCCTTTTGCTCGGACTGGGGTTATTTTAGTAAATGAGCCAGGGGTCTGAGATGGCTCACGGACTACAGGGCTTGGAGATGCCCCTGGTTCAAAGCTTTGATGCCCCAGGTGATGGTGGGGACCCATTAGATCCAGCTCTCACCTGGGGGAAGGAGCCACCCCACAGCCCTGGCAAGGTGCAGGTAGGTCAGCATGGGCTGCGAAACCTGCCAACATAAATTAGGGCTGCGATCCTTGCTGGTGCAGCTTCACTGCTGCTGTCTCGTTATGCCTGCACTGAGGGCAAGAGTTGGGTGAGGTCAAGCTAGCAAATGACCTTAGAAGTTCATAGTCTAATGAGATGGTTAATGCTGGGTTAGCTCCTAACAGGGATCATCTCCAAGAGAAGAACTCCTCCCAGTCCATCTCAGCATGCAAAGCAAGTACTGTCTGGGCCTGGCAGACTGATGCAGAGTCTCTCTTCTGGATCCTCAAATGGCCTTCGGACCTTGCTATTCCTCACATACTGTCCTTGCACTGTCCTGGGTGAAATACTACTCATGATAATAGAATTGAATCCACAGACCGATAGAAATCAGGCACATAGGTGCCTTTGGAGTCTTGGCTCAGGTATTTTGCCCGCTCTTACAGAGGAAGGAATACATACTGAGCAGGGAACAGAAGCCAAGTCTTCTAAATTGCAGGCCTGGGCCTTGCAGCATCTTTAATTTGGGGGAACAAAGATGAAATTGAGTCTTCAGAGTCTTAAGATGATAATTTTCACCAAGATTTATTAAGGAAACCAATTCTAGAGGTTATGAAGTGATTTTCTTTGTGAGATACCACTTGGGATCCAACAGAGACAGAAAATAGGAGGTTTCTCATCTGACTTAAAATCGTGTGTGTTGTGAAGAAAGGGTTGAGAAACTGCACAGCTTTTGACTGCTTTCAGTCTTGATCAACCAGGGAATTCCTCAAACTAGAATGCATGAGGTTAAAAGGCTACCGCCAGTCTAGCTCCACATCAATGCCGTTTCCAGCCCTACAATAACAGTGGGAGAAGACTTTGAAACAGAAAAAATGATAATTCACACTAATAAAAACCTTCAGACTTTGGAGCTGTCTCAAAATAAAGGCCCTATCGGATGTCCAGGCAAGTCAGTACAAAGACTCCTGCAGGCTCTCTTGGGAGTGTGGCAACTCCCTCCAAAGCGCCAACGAAAGCACCCGCAGCACTTCCAGATTATTAGTGTCAGCTCCAATACATTAACGTAGAGCATCCCCCGCAGCTCATCAATAATGCCCAAGATCCTGCTGATATCACACTTGCAAGCTCGCGATATCTCACCCACCGCTCCTGCGATGCGTTGCTCAAGTGGAAGAGCCCTCTGGCCAAGCCGGCGCTGTCGCCGTGCCGAGGTTGCATTCAGGACAACCCCGCTCTGCCTTTGGCACATGACTAATGGGGAAACTCAAGTTAGACTGTTTTTTTTTTTCAGTGTGAAGAAACGCTAATCCCTCGAGTTCCCCCTGCTTCTGCTGCTCTCAGCGTTCGGAGTGTTGTTGAACCCCTCGTGTGTAGACACTCCAAAACCACTGTCAGCCTCGCCCCAGCTGGAACACATTTACTTACTTCAAGCCTGCTACTCTGATCAGAGGGCTCAGATTAAGCAGCGGCAGATCAGCGTTAATGCAGACCTTGCACCAGAGATTGAGAAAAGATAGCAAAGGTGATAACATGAGAGAGAGATGGGCATCTACGAAAGGACTATTTCATACTGCAAAAATATTAAGAGCAATTTATCCATCTTGTCTGGGAACCAAAGCCCCGACTCTGCAAAGAGTAAAATAGTACTTAAGTCCATCCAAATTAATTCTGAATACATTTGTAATCTTGATTTCTCTTGTATTTTAAGCTACAGCACTTGAACCCAACAACAGCAGGTTGAACGCATTAGGAAGGAATGTTCTTGTATAAGCAACGCTTCTACTGGCTGAAACATCAGAGGGTCACGGAAACAACTGGAAATGTCACTCCTTTGTGAATATATTTTTGGAATTCTGGGCATAAAGCTGGACTTGAACCCTCATGGATCCAATTTGGAGCCTGATAATCAATCATGCAATCAAAAGCCCCTGACTGGCACGCAAGCCAGTTTTTCTTCTGCCTTTGCAAATGGCACAAGCATGTGTGGTTTTGTAGGCTGAATAAAGCAGTGGGGATGTTTCCACAGGAGAAAATAAGAGACAGAACGAACAAGGTCTTTTGCAAGAAGAACTCCTTCAAACCATCCATCAGACAGGCTGTCACACGCCAGCGTGGAGGTGACGAGAGCTGTCCCTGCTTGGTAGCTCAATTTGACAGAGACAGCCTGGTGACACACAGCAATAGCTTCTCACCGGGACCATCCCCTCAGCATTTTTCCCTCTCGCTGCCTCTTGCAGAATTGTCCCTATGTGCCCATAGGAAGAGAGGACAGAATGGGTTGAGTTGCTCCGTGATGGAGCAGTTGCTTTGACCTCTGTGATGCAGAGGCTGGACCCGCAGTGTGCAAAGACCATGGACAACCACTTGTCAGCCCCGTGTCACGTAGCTGAATTTCCTGGTGACGACGCTGTCCCCAAGACAAGGCAGCACGTGCATGCGGCCACCCTTGCCCCTACCCAAGGCTGGGGCAGGAGAGCCGTGCGCGGTGCCCGGTGGTGACAGGAGAGGGCAGCTGTGGGCAGAGGAGGGCTCAGGGGAGCCCAGATGTGCCGCGCCGAAGCAGATGGGCTTCCACATGTGCAGATTTACGACTTACTGAAAAGCCCCCAGTTTAATGGCTGCTTTTTCATTTCCTACAAATCTAATTACAGGGAAATAGGACTGATTGTGAACATATTTAGGGAATGCATTTGTTGCTGTCTTTTTACATTTCCTTTGTAGTATAAAGCAGAGTGTTGGCTGAAAACATTCACACGCTCTCATGAGAAAACATATCAAATGCCAACAGGAAAGAAATAGCAGCGGAAGGGCCTAATACTGCACCCACTCCAGGCAGCAGATCTTGCTCCTTCCTGGGGATGCTGAGTGGATTATTCCATAGCCACAGACTACTTATGCATATAGGTGATTGCATCAAAAGACTAGTAAAGGAAGACCCCAGGTCCTGGCCGTGCAGACACTTAAATCCACAAGGCAGCTCCTGGGTGGCAGGATAAGGGCTTGCATAGGATCACTCAGGTGATTCTAGTAAGGACCATCACAGCCCAAACATTGTCATCAGATCTGATCTAGCTGCACAGCCATAGGAGAGAAACTTGCATTCAGAGAAAGAGGCAATCAACCCTTATTTTACCTAGAGCTATCCAGATTATTTTATATGTTTTTCATAACATGGGTCAAAAATCAGTCGAAAGAGAAGAGCTGATACAACAAACCAGCAATGTGGCAGAAACTGCCCCCAGAAACAACAATTGACAATTTGAAGTTGGGAAACATAGGAAGAAAGAACAGCCTGGCTTGGATTCACATGGGAAGATGCATCTAGTCATATGGCTGGGGAGCTGAACCACACACAAGGACTCTGCTTGTCCAGATCAAAATGATTAAAGCAGCTTATGTCCTAAAACTCACCAAGCACAACATACACACAGCCTAATTTAACAGAATCTCTTTCATAGCTATTGAGAATATTCGAAAGCTGTATGTACGGGCATGGCTGTCGTTATTTAGACTTATTATTCACACATGGGTAGTAAAACAAAATCTGTCAGAAGCAGGGTCCTATTTCTCCGTCCTGAAAGAGAAAATCCTGACTCAAAGAGAATCTTTTATGAAAGAGGCAGCAGTAAGATATGACAGGCACACAAAGGTGCTTTGAGCTGGAAGCTTTATTACTTGCTGCATAACAAGAGCAGCAACAATAGCATTAGAGAGGGGTTGCATTTAGCATGGAGAGAAACCTTCATGCCTTGGGGTGCAGGACAAAACAGAAGCCTGGTTGGAAAAAGCGAGACCAGGTTTTTGCAGAGGGGTCCTGTCCCTGGAGTAGCTGGTACTTCCTGCTGCCAGGGATGGAAGGACAACTGTTCTCATCTTGGCAATTCTCAAAATAAGCGTTACTGTAAATTTAATGGGGAATTGAGAGGAAGAAAAAAGAAAAAGCTAAAAAGCTCTTTGCATTCTAGGTTCAGCAACAGTTTAGTCTCTGCTTCCTTAAAAATGATCTGCCACCTGCTACTAATTTCCTTCTTTGTTACAAAAGCCATCGACTGCCTGAAGGAAAGGGGGAGAAGAAGCTGTTAAGCTGCACTTTACACAGAGCAAATGAGAACACAAATAGCAGGGAATGTGTGTTTTAATGAGCAAAAGGGCCATCGATCAGTTTACTACCGCACTTGGGCCCAGTCCCAACACGCAGCAAGCGCCAAGAGCTCCTCGTGACTGGGCTGGACCCTGCTCAGAGCATCAAGGGGCTGGGCACGATGCTGGCAACAGCGTCATGCTCCTTCCCTCGTGCTCCTTGCACCATTGCTGCTGCTCCAGCCCAGCTGCCCCCCTGGCAAGCAAACCCAACACTGCTTTAGGTTTCCTCATCCCCTGCTTACCTCAACGGCCGCAGCGTCCTCAACAGCCTCAACACCCTCAGCATCCCCAGGATCTTCGTGCCGCTGTCTGACACCATGGAGACCAGGATGTCGATGACGGAGATGAGAACCAGCACTCCATCCAGCACGTTCCAGCTACTTTTCAAGTAGGCTTTCTCCCCAAAACATAAGCCCAGTGCCACCACCTGCATGGACATCAAGTAGCAAGGAGTTACGACTGCTGCATCCAGTACATTTCCTCCAACTAACAACCTATCAAGAATGCATTATTTACAGATACAAATCTATAAGTCCATTTGCTTCACAGTATGGAAGCCTAAATGGACAAGTCAGCAAAGTGTTATACTGCAAGGACTGGAAAAATAGCTCTGCAAAGCATTCCAGATTGTCCCTTACACCTGAGGTATTTATACTGCATCTAAACCTAGCTGCACAAAACTATTCCTAACACATTTAGCTCTATCATAAAATGTTTGATCATGTTTTATTTCTATAAACTCCTGGAGTGGAGGTTTAGAGCAGTTGACCCAAGGCAGTCATTTACCAGCTTTGCAAATAATGAAAATAGAGAAACTTACTAAAGAAAGAGCTTTTTTTCTTTTTTTTTTCCTGTGAGATGATTATGAATTACACAAGAGAGATTTACAGCAATGTGTTTTTGACAGCCTTCCAGCCTTCTGCCTCAAATCCAGCAAAGCATTTCAACGTGTTTAAGTCTCTTCCTCCTCAGGAAAGCACATCGCTGTTTAGGTTGTGGAAGACTTTGGGACTCGCATGCATGGCTGAACTTAAGCGTGTGCTCAAGAGCTTTGCTCAATAGGAAAGATTGCTGAATTGAAGCATCCCATTGCTCATATAATGGTGTAAATCAAGAACAACTTCAGGGAAATCATTCTGTGTGAAATGTGCTCAGAATAAGGCATGCAGTGGGTACTTGAATATCATTCAGAAGAGGAAAACATGCGCCTCGCTCGTAAGTGGTGAACCTAGGGGTTTTGCAATTCCACGGCAATAAAATACCACCAATACAGCACAGCCACATGCATCCCCCAGCTTCATTTACCTTAACTGTCATTTCAGTCAGGAAGATAACTGTGAATATGTAGTTGGAGAGCGTTAGGAAAATCCGTTCCTATTAAAAAAGAGAAGAAAACAAGCGACAACATTTTCTATACCCGTGTAGCCACACGGGTCCTCGTGTATATTTGCACTGTTACTAACTGCTCCCCAGCGTCCAGGCTGAAACAAGCCCCAAACTGCTGCTTCCCAGACAAGAAAATATCCAAACGTTTCGACATCCACCCGCGTGCACGGGGAGCTGGTGGCGGTGTCAGCACCACGGACAGCGGCCAACGCTCAAGGGCACCGGGGCCAGCGGCGCCCGAGCCCCTGGCCCAAACACCACCGCTCCCCTGGTCCCTAGGGAATCAAGTCAGCGTTAGGTTGGCTGTAGGGCAAGGCAAGGAGGGCCCAAGGGGGACAGGAGCTCTAGGGGTTTAGGCCAGCCAAGCCCTGTCCCCCAAAAGGTGGATTGACCTGCCCAAACCGCAGGCTGGACCTGGGACTGAAGCCCAGTAGTCTCCCCGGTGTCTCCGCTCCTTGCTGCAGCAGCAGCTTGTGCTTACAGATGAGCCCATGGACTGGCTCCCTGTCTGCAGCCAGCAGAAACCTTTCTTTTTAATGATGATCATTAAACACATTACACTTTTCCCTAATCCCTGAGCAATCTCTGATTGCCTGTACTGAGAAACGCAGAGTGGAAGAAGCAGGGCATAGGATAGAGGGTATGTTTGCATGTATGCAGACAATGGAACCAGCCCCAATTCTGCTAATAAAAGCCTTGGATTTATTTCTGCTGCTCCCTATGGAGCAGTCCTCTTGGAGATGCAGATCTCTAGCTCAAAATGAGATGCAATTTAAACAAGACAAAACACCTTGGCAACTCGCTGGCTTGCCAGATCATGATTTACCGAAAGTGACTCAGGAACCACAGAGCAGCTTGTTTCCATACTGAGCCCGTAATTAATTAGGTCCTAGACCTTGCACCGTGATAGGAAACATCTCTGGCCTTCGGCTGGCTGCTGCAGCAGGGCAGCGCGCGCGGGAGGAAGCCGCAGCGGGCGGCAGGACGGCGCTTCTGGGGCCGGAGATAAAACAGCAAAAGCACACAGAGAAGACTGAGGATATTACATTCCTCTCCGGCAAGCACGTGGCTATTTTCAAGGATAATCTCCGCGGCCCTTGTCCTGCTCTCGGCAACGGGCAGCGCGTGTTGGCCAGCAACGGCATCCCCGGCCCCGCTAAGCCCGCGGAAACTGGGGCAGCAACCGCGAAAATCCACAGCTTGGGGAAGCAAAGTATAATTATTTCAAACAACTCGAGCTAAACTAACCCTCTTGGTTTCCAGATGAGAGCCCTGTCACCACAAGCGTGGCCTCCTGGCTCACTCAGCATCCGCCTCCTCTGCGGCTAGCACGAAGCCCAGCTCTCTTCTCACGAGGCTTTCCTGGCCCTCCTCAAATTTCCTTTCAAGCCTCTGCATCCTCAAGACCTCCCAAGCAGTAGGCTAGCTGCAAACATTCCCCAGAGCATTTGCTAGCCAGGCAAGTGCCCTGGCTTTGGGCTGGGAACAGCCAGCACAAGAGGACAGCGGTAGCTGGTGCAGCACACTTGCACAGTGAGCAAAATTAAAAAAGGAATTCAGGTAGGGACCCACAGGCACACTAAGGAGGACTAGGGAAAGCTTGAAATAGGCACAAAGGAGCCAGGACTCCAGTTTTAAGGTCTTGTTTTGCAGATCCATGAAAATAAATAACCTGACTCGCCTACGTGGTCGGAACAGGGCTCCGGATGGTTGTGACACAGGTAGCCGTTTGCAATGTGTCAGCAAGATCCCAGGGTTTGTACCACAGCCTATGCTAAAATAAAAGAGCAGTCAGATCATTCTGCCCATCTGATGGAGGGTGCTGTAACGAGGGTCTGTTTAAAAGAATAAAATGAAAGAAAATAAATGTAATCTATTAAAACAATGTCTGGGGAAATGGAATCAGAGTGCTTGTATGAATTCACTTTTGCTTGTGTCACAACAAAGATGACAGACAAAGGGGAGAGAAAAATATGAAATGAACAGTTTCTCCCTTCCCCTTCACACCATACATACATACCCATGAAGAACAGATGGAAGAAGTGAACATCATGCTGAGAGAGGAAAAGTGTTTGAAGGTTTATCAGAGGGGGAAACTGAGACAGATGTCATGGTTATGTCAGTACTAAAAACCTTGATCATACTTGCAGCAGTGGGATATTATTACAGGGAGACCACGGGGGCTGCTCTGTACTTTGAAAGAAGACTGGGTAGGGACCAAGAGCTGAGTTTGGGGAAGAATCCTCTCTCCTTACTTGTCACAGAAAACATTTCAGCAACCACCATAAAGGTAAATTTATTGCCGAAACTAAATAACATCTTGGCAGGATTTGCTTTTCAGTAACTCCCAACAAGAAATTAGGAGCTGCAGGGCTGAGACAGCATGGAGCAGGACCAGCACACGGAGCGGGAGGGGAATAGCACCAGGAGACACCTGAAAGTTTCCTAGCAAAACACTCTCCGGGCCATTCCACAGCTTTCTTTTCCTGATATCTCTGTGTCATCCCAGCACAACCACGGGATTTGCATGGGATGCAGCTTCCCATTCAAGAAATAAAGAGAGCCCAAGCACAAGGGTGGCTGCACAAGCACCACGGCCCCAGAGCACAGGCAGACGGTCACGGCAGGAACTCACGGCGCTGTGAGGCTCGATTTTGGGCCGCTCCATGGCGATGGTAATGCAGTTCAGGAAAATGATGACCAAGACGATATGATCAAACATCTTGTGCGTGATGATCTTATTGCACATCAGACGGAATCTGCCCAGAAAGAAGAAGAAAAAAGACACGCAAAGTAGCAGTTAATGCTCAAGGGCTGGGGATGGACACGCTCTCGCCAAGGTGGCAGCTCTGAGCAGAGCAGGAGAATGCAGGGCTCTGTTTGCAAAGCAGATGAGCTGCAATCTCCCAGGCCCTGCTCTGGCATAGCTGCATATTGCAGGCAAATCTATGTACAAATAGAAAAGGACCTGAGCTGCAGGACTGAGCCACGGATTTCAAGCATGGTAATATGCAGAGAGGACTTAGGCTCACTTGAAACCAAGCAGCTGTTCCTGCAGCTCAGACACGCGTCCAGGTTTGGATCCGAGCTCCCCTCTTGTCCGTAATGCTCAGGTTTAGCTTAAATAATGAAAGCAATACCCCCACCAAGCATGTAAGGCTTGAGCACACCACGTGGAGCAGAAGGACAGGAGCTATTTATTGCGACAGATGGCTGTACACTGACCCAGGATTTATAATCTCGTATTACATTTCCCAAAGTCTGTTTCTGAAAAATCTCTCTAATCTTTGTATGAATGAACTTGAGTGCTGCCCAGGGCCCACCAGTCCCAAGCTGGGAAACCCTCGTTAAGCGCGATCCTATGTTAAGCATGAGAGCACCCAGGCTGGGCAGGCCCAAAGGACCTCAGGGCCCCCCAGCCAGGGGAGGGCAGTTTGCCAGGGGTTGTTAGGAGAGGAAGGAATGGAAAGGAGAAGACAGAAGACCAGGGTGAGGGGCAGTTTTAACAAGGTGTGCTGTGTCATAAGCACATGCCTGGTGCGAGTTTATATTTCTTTAGGTATTCTTTAGGCATCCTTAGTCCTGTTTGCGGCCTAACCAAACCATGCTGTGATATGAGAGCAGGGCTTGCAACCAGGAAACAGGTGGACTGATGTATGGGGACCATGCTGGGATACAGGGGCAATGTGAACCCTCACAACACTGACCTCCACAGCAAGCGCTGCTGCTGCTGCCCGAGCGGGGCTGCCTTACCTCGAGTGAGGAGGAAAGACGTAGATGGACCAGGAGTCTCTCTCTTTGCACCAGGTGGGGAGATGCGCCCAAACCCAAGCCTTCATGCGCTCCCTTTTGCTCTAGGAGGCAAACACACAGCACGTTGTAGTCTCTTATTGATGCCCATCAGCAGGGCCTCTCGGTCGAGCGTTGCTGCTGCTGCTGAGAAGCGCCGGGAGCTGCTCTGCTTGCAGGACGGCTCCAGGCATCCCGATGCATGGGACAGGGTGGGGACAGGGAGACAGGGCTGCAAAGAAATCTGCTGTCCTGACTGTTCTGGTCTGAGTAAAATCACCTGCCGTTCCCACTCAAGGGAGCTCATTGACCCCAACCCTCATCCCACAGGACTGAACCTGCACGGAGCAGCCTCAGCCACTCTAGATGCTTAGGAGATGTTCAGCTGAATATTCTGATTTTTTTTTTTCTTTTTTAGAGGAATATACAAGGCTCACGTCAGAGGCTCTAACAGGAGCAGAGGGATTCCTGCTGCTTGCTGGGCCAAGTCCTACCAAGTCCTCTGCCTGTGCATGGCCATGAAGCCAAAGGAACCACCAGGGACCTGCGCTTTGATCCATGAGCACCACGGCAAAGAGCTGCCTCTCATTTGGCCTGAACAGATTAAATGGAGAGATTATAAAGCCAGAAGGGAACATCGTGGCCAGCCAGTCTGACCTCCTGGATGAACGCAGACTATGCAGCTCCCCCGAATTAATTCCTATTTGAACTGCAGTGCATCCTCAGCCAGACATCCTTATGGTTTATGTTGTCTGCAGGGTTGTTTAAGACCATGGGGACAGATTTTAAGGCCTTGGTCAGCAAGTCAACTGAAGACAAGAAGCAGCAGATGCAAAGGGGAGGCCTTGCCCTGGCTGCACCAGCCTGAGGATCAGGGCTTTTGGCCTTCTCCTCCCCAGGTCTCTGAAGAGAGGTCAGCACCTTTAATCTGATTTACATGACACTGCTATGAACTAGCCCACGAGCAAGCAGAAGAAGCCATCCAGGACACAGCTGTCCAGACCAACACCTTGTCCCCTCACCAGAGCTTTCTCAGTCCTTTCAAACCAAAGCACCAGGAGAAAAATGCACAGATCAGGTTGAGCAAAACCACCACAAGGCTTTGCATTTGCAGACAACAAAAGTAAAATTCATGCTCCTCGGTGACTCTGATTTCCCCCTACCACACAGCCTGGATGTGCACATTACCTGGGCTCTCTGCAGCTTTTCCTGCAGATGGTCACAAACAGATCTGCAAAGCAGCAGAGCTGTGTGGAGCGCAGGAGAGGAACCTCCACTTTTATTTACTCCAGCTTGACAACAGGAAAGGGGAAGTCTGTGCTCTTGTGGAGCCCAACTAGGAGCAGCTCAAGGTATTCTATGCTGTAAAAATGGGATTTGTTAGGGTAATTGAGTCAAATGGAGGAAATGCTTTGTGTTCCTCCATGCGCTCAGCCGGGGGTCTCATTAGCGATGGGTAATAGCTAGTGCAGCATCAGTTTTAATGAAAGCATTTGGTGACAACCTGAACCTTTCCGAAAATGCAAGCCACTGTGTGAAAATAATAAAAGTCTGAACGAAGGAAAAAGTGGATTTTTTTTCTCCCCTTCTCCTTTGGCTGTTCATCCTTCTTTCCCCTTCTGCACAAACACACATCACCCCAGTAGATTCTGGCCACATCTTGGCTGTTTTCACATCCGTTTCCCAACTGTAGGCAAGGAGTCTGAAATGCTCTCTTCTCTCTAAACTGTATTTAATAGAGCCTGCATCCTTGAGATTGCGTTATCCCTCCTAGCATCCTAGTTAGTTTAATTATCCTTGGATTTAACAAAGATAAATAAATGGATAAAATTAGGTGCCTGCTTGAAGTTGCAGCAAGAGCAGCGACTGCCACCCCAGCCTCCGGCCACAGGGCAGTAGCTGGGACTGGGTCCGGTTCATTTTGTGAGCTGGAAGGATTCCAGCAGTATCTCTTATTCAAAGCAGTTCTGGTATTTATCATGGGGATTTGTAGTGAATGGCAATGCGTCAGCAGCACAGAATGCTCCATTCTATTCCTTTTGTCCAATTTTAATGCCAAAGATATTTTGGGGGGTTGGCTAATTGTTGCAGCTTGCAGTTCACAGGCTAAATCAGATAACAAAGGCAAAAAGTGATTTTCCCTTGCATCTCCATTCAGTGGGGCAGAGGAAGGGCAGGCTCAGCCTGGGCTGGAGCAGCCTGGTGCTTTCTACGGGGCCGTGGAAACGGAAAGCCAAAGGAATTCCTCCAGCTTTCCACCGAGGGACCAGCACAGCTCAGTAATTGGAGCCAAACGCAAGATATTTGCAAAATAAAAACGAGCGCTGCCAGCCTAAGTGCCATCCAACGCTTCCTCTGCAAGGTCCAGACACACATCGACTGCCTACAATCAGCCTGATTGCTGCTTAAGCCGGTATTATGTTCAAAGCGATATATCAATTATGCCGTTTAAATCAAATCTATTTGTTCATAAAACACACCTGGACAGGATGAATAAAAACGGGAGTGGGAGGGAGAGAGAAATACTCTGTAATTCGGTTGCTGGTGCTTTAGCTGCGATGTCCTGACGTGCTCTGAGCCCAAACTGAGCCCTTGGAGCCAACCCGCACCCGGAGGGGCCCGCGGGGACGAGGCACATGCTCCATTCTCACTAACAAGCAGAGATGCTGCCTTCATCTACCGCAGCGCAAACAGCCCCCTCGAATCCCACATTAAGGAGAGCTCCTGATAAATAGCGTGCTTTTTTCTTTCCCCCTTTTTTTTTCCTCCATTTGAGATATTAATACACTTCTGAGGGCAAGATGAAAGGCAGCTCACATTAAAAGATGACTGATACACTTCTTGGAGTAAGCAGGAGGATTAAATCTATAAAAGATTTATTATAAAGAGGGGAGGAAACTGCTGCAAAATTCCCTGTGAGCCATAGCTGACCTCCAGGGGAGCTAGGAGTGCCTAGAGGTGCTCAGGACCCGAGTACTTCACTTGAGATGTTTGGAGGAGCAGGATGAGAGGGTTTAGGGCTTATCTGCACTTCAGGGCACAGAATAAAGCAACACGGCTGGAGATGAAAGGAGCTGCAGTTGCAACGTGCAGCGTTCACACGCAGCCTGGATCGTGCCCCGTTTGCTTCGCCGGGGACGCAAAGGTGTCTTCGCTTGAAGACACCTTCAGCGTCTTCACACCCAGGTTTAAATTAAAGTCCCCTCTCTAAAACATTAAAAATTCTCCCCTCTTTCCACTCTGAGCACTCAGTCACCGGCTTTTTACATGACAGGGACTTTTTTCTTCCCGTTTTCCTGGAATTTTGCAGCTGGTGCTGGCAGTGACCTGAAACAAAACCTGGACAAGCAGCTCCGAGCAGCGCAGATGTCCCCCCAGCTCCCAGCGCTGCTTACGGAAGCTCCTCCTTGTCTACCTTCATGCAATGAACAGCAGAATTTGGTCCCCCGATTCCAGGTTTGGGGGGAGAAGAGATGTTAGGGGCCTGATTCAGGCCCCTTAGAGCAATGTAAATTTAGAATAAACTCTTTGAACGCAGTGGAGTGGCACTAATATAATGGGAGTCTGCGAGATCCAAATGAAATCCTTGCACTTTCTTTTATTTCTGTGCAGAGGCAATCAAAACCATCCAGCAAGGAGAGCTTGTTAAGCTTTGTTGCAGAAGGGCATATTTAGGATTACTTTGATCTGAATAACAGTTGAGTTCGTTTCTTCTTTGTTGGTGGGGGAGTTTGGGGATTTTTTTATTTTATTATTTTTCAATTTAAAAAAATAATGACTTTTTCCCGACTTTGTCAAGGTTAATTTAGGGGCAAAGAATCCCCCCCAAAAATGTCAGGAGGAAATCGCAAAGGGAGGCACAGCAACCCGAGAGACTGATTTCACTAATCTAAGCAATATATTCCAATCCCTCTGGTTTAGCGACTTGCAGTGAATACATATTTAAGAGCATGAGGAAAGGCAACTGCCAGCTGAGGATGTCCCAGCTGCTCACTGTGGAGATACCACAGGCAGAAGCATGCTTATTTTTGCCTTTTTTTGGTCCTTTTAATCCTTTTTCTGCCATTATTGACCTAAGCATTTGCAACCAGTGCTCCGTGGGAGAGGATTCAGAGAGCTTGGGTGCTCTCTGAAAATACTAAAATTCTAAATTTTAGAATTTAGAATTTAAAAATTCTAAAAATTGTTTTATGGAGGCTAAGAAACAGGTTAAGAGAACCAGTAAAACCCCGTGTTGAGGCGCCGTGCTGCAGAGGCAATGGGGTAATGGCTTTCTCAGGGCACCTCATGCCTGAGTGACTCTATTCTGCCAGCGGAAACTTCCTCCCGTGTCTTCGCTCACCGGGGCCTTTTGCATCCCTGCACATCCTCCACGTCCCATTTTCACTCAATAAACTCGGCGAAATACAGTAAAATCATGTCCACGAGCTACAGCTTTCGCATTCTCAGTACTGCCCCGGTTACCACTGAAGTAATAATTGCATGAAACTATCTCAAAAAAAAAATATCACTCTCACAAGACTGACAGAATTACTGCCTGGGGATGGTGGTATGAGGCCACCTGCCTTCTTAAGCCCAAGAGAAAGCCAAATTAAAATAGAAAAACAACCGAATTTGGATGCACTGGCCATGCCCAGCAATGTTGCTTTGGGTAGGGTAGGGAAACGTCTACGTTTCTTCTCCCCATGCTGCTTGCTGGCCTTAGAGCAGATCCTCCTGCCCTCACCAGCTGCAGGAGGAGCTTCTCAAGGTGCCCTTGCAACGTCCCCAGCAGCTGCAAACCTAACAGAAAAGCTCAGGGATGAGCCCAGAGAGAACAGTCAGTAAAACGAGACACCAGCATCGTGTTTACGCTCGCGTTGCGCCAAGCAGTAGGTTGCTGAAAGCCCTTGAGCGCACCCATCTCTGCCCGTGACTGCAGCAGGAGGGATGTTGGATCCCTTTACCAGCCCCATTTCCACCTCTTTGCCCCTGCTTGGGGTCGGGCAAGGTCGGCACCAACTCAAACCTCAGCTTTTAGGGTTTCGCTGCATCTCTGATGAGGTTTCTCCAGCTCCTAAATCCCTGTGGCATTTCCATAATTCGGGCGGTGGCAGCACGTAGCCAACTCCATGCACTGATTTGGAAGCAGCGATTGAGGGAACACGCAAGCTGGAGATGCCTCTTTGCTGCCTTGCACCCTAATCAGCGCAAAATTACAGCTGATTCTTCTTCTCCCGCTGCCATGCTTTTAGCTAACATTTCCTAAATGGCACTTTTCAAGCCTGTGAAAGAGAGGCGCTTATTGGACTAATGCCTCTTCATATTGAAATTAATGCAAAGCCTTTGAAATTACCACTGTCTCCACGGGACTAATGCCTCCAGGGGACTTGTGGGCCAAACCCTGCCCTTTCGGTGCCTGTTGATGTCAACAGAAATTGCTGTTGTGCAGGGAGGGGGTAGAGCCCCGATCGTTAGCTAGATAACAGGAAAAGTTGTTAAAACAATGCACAGTGCCTAGATAACCAGAGCATGGCAGGGCATCCGCATTGCACCTTCTAGTGGGACCTAGGTGCTGATTTCTCCATCTTGAACTACACAAAATGGTACTGAAATATAGGATGCAAAAGCAGCAGCAACCTTGGGGGGCTTCTCCAGCCCGGGCTCCCCCTATGTTTGGCTGAGACTCTTATAATGGGGCTGGGAAACGGAGGGGAACAGCAGCTGCAAACCCGGAGCGAGCGCTCGGCCTCCGCTTACCATGTTGCCCTCGTCGTCGCCGTTGTCGGCGTCGTCGGGCGGCAGCTGGTGCAGCAGGAGCCCCGCGGCTGTCTTGCCGTTGCAGTCGCGGTGCTCCGCGGCGGCGGCACGGCCGCCGTGCACGCTGCCGCTGCGGTAGCGCGACGGCACCTGCAACGTGTCCTGCAGGTCGAAGGAGCCTTTCGTCTCCAGCGACTCCATGCGCTGAGGTAAGGAGCCGTTGAAGCTGCCCGCGCGGCTGGAGTGCTCCTCGTCCGAGCTGTCGCCTTCCTCGGAGCTCTCCTTGCCCTCTCCGGACAGCAGGGACCTGCGCTCGCCGCTCTGGCCCCGGCGCTTGAGGCTGGGAGCGCGGCCGATGCTGTTCCAGCTCGAGCGGCGGCTGTTCCAGCTGCTGCCGGCGCTCCAGGGGCTGTGCGGGGAGCTCCGCACACTGGACTAGGGAAAGGACATGGAGACAAGAGCGTCACCCCCCTGTCCTGCCACCCCTGCTTGGGTCCCACCCGGCAGGACGCACGCATGGAGCGTCCTCTCCCATTGAGCATGGGAGACATGAGCACAGGCAGACAGCCAAGGCACAAAGTGGCCCAACAAAGCCAAGAGCAGAGCGACAGGAGGAAGAGAAGCGAGTACCGGTGACTTGAGCTCGTGAGCGGCGGGGTCCACGGAGACGCCGCTCGCGCGGCGGGACTCGTAGCCCTGCGCCGCCTCGCCGAACATGGCGCTCTTGGGCATGGGCATAGGGGTGGCCGCCGTGTGGATGATGAGCGGCGGCGTGAGGCTCTTCTTCAGCTCCGGGTGGTCGCTCAGGGCCAGCACTGGAAGACACAAGGGGTTTTATAGGTGGCTTTTAGCAGAGGCACCCAGGCCACCTGTGCTTGTGTGCACAAAGCAGGTAGCAGCTCTCGAGGAGAGAATTCTGCCCTGAACATCGTGAGGATGGAGGCCAAGAGGGTCATTTAGAGATGAGCTCCTCCCTCAACACAGCAGAGGAACAGGGGATGTAGGGGGTCTTAATCAAGAATAGATCAGGCAGCAATGAGCAAGGAGAGGAGATGTGGCTGCTGCCCCTCAACCGTTCAACAAACACCCTCCAGCTCCTTCCCCTCCAACCTTTTGCCTCCTCCCTCCTCTGTTCTGCCTCCACCAGCTGCCTGTTTTTCAGCATCCCCCACCTCTGAGCTTTCACCCCCAGTCCCCTTCTCCCCCAGGACTGTCTCTGCCCTGCAAGCTCCTCCCTTCCCACCTGCTCTGGCTCCATCATCGTTTTCCCCTCCTGGCTCTCCCAGAGCCTCCTCCCCAGGCACCGTCGTCGCCCTGCCCACAGGCATCACCCCCAGCCTCTCCTTTACCAGTTGTGGGCAGGGGCTCGGTGCCACATGGCCCAGCACTCGCTCACCATTCCTCAACAGACATCCTGCCTCCAAGCCTAGACCTCAGGCTCCATTGCAAGACAAGGGGCCCCAGCAGCACCCCAGCTTTTCTTGTCCTCATCCCTGATCCAAACCCCCAGCAGTTCAGACTGGGGTATTCTCCCTAGGAAGACTCTTCCCATCAGACATCTTCCCACTGTTATTGCAGCAAAGCCAGATTCCTGCTGAAGGCCCTGCAGTCCGGGGTTGTTACTTACAGGCTGGATTTGACAAGTTTTTCTTAAGCCCAGCCTCTTCTTCCAGGCTGTGAGGGAAAAGATCCCCCTCGGAATCGGACTTGGAAGCGTCACCCTAGAGCAAAAGAGAGAGTTTTAGCCACGAGGGTGAACAGCCACACTGCACGGATGCCCCTCTGCAAAATGGATTCCCATCACCAACACTACACCTATGGCTCCACAAAAACTTGTACCGGGATGCAACACCACCTTTCACAAAATGACGCATGCACGTATTTATACCACAGACTAATTAACCTCCTACCAGGAAGACAGACTGCCGCTGACTCTGAGCGCAACCGCAGAGAGAGATCGGGAAAAAACGGTGCTTCGGCTGCAGGATTTGCACACTGGGCAGATGTTTGGGAAGGATGCATTTCTGCTGAGCAGAAAACTGAGCATACTCGTGTCTCTTAATTTACACACTGCGATCTAAACCTCGGTGTCTCCGGGCTTTCGCATGGCTTGAAGCAATCCAGGGTTCAGGGAGGGACACAGAGCCCTGGCTTTCCAATTCGGCTGATGGGCACACGTCAGTGAAAGCCCCAGAGAAGATCCAAGCGGCAGAACCTGGTAGCAACTGCCCCTGGGTGGCCATTTACCTTAGAGCTGCAGCCCACGACATGATTTTAAGCTCAGGGGGTTCACAGAAGCTCCGTTGTGCTATTTCAGGTGCCCAGGGTGGAACAAGAACTGCCCATCCCGACCTGAGCCCATCCTCAGGACCCATCCATGCGCCCATGAGGAGGATAGGGAAGAGATTGACCGGTGCTTCCAGTGTGGCACCCAGGTGCTTGCTCAGTCTCGCGGCATGGCCCTGGGGAGAGACATCCCTGCATGCCTCTCGATTCTGTCCATTGGCACTGCAGAAAGGTGCTTAGGGTGTGGTATATCCAGCAGGGAGCCCACGGGAAGAGCGGCGCTTGCCAGAACGACACCCATCCAAAAGAGGGTGACTCATTGCTGAAACCGCTACTCTGGCAAAGAGCGTCGAGCCCCGTCAGGTCACACGTCAGGGAGGAGGAGAGGTGGGAAGGGAGAGGGCAGGTGGAGATGGGAGAAGCCAAGCAGGACCTCGCTCCAGCTGGGGCAACCAAGGAGGCCCTGCAAAGCCCACACCTAAGCTGCACCCTCAGGAACCCTGGTCGAGGCTGATCAAGTTTGGTGCTTGGGGATACCTGTTTGGGTGGAAAAATAGGCAAACGGGCCCTGGTTTGGAGGGAAGGGCTGCAGCAGGTGGCTGGGAGAGGAGCTGGTGGGCAGTGCAAGGCCCATTCAAAACAACTCAAGCGCCGCACACGTTTTTGGGCAAAGCTCCAGAGGAACAAGCCTGAATTCTCTGCTCCCAAGTTCAACCAACAGTTAGAGGTCTGTTCCAGAAAGAGTGGATGCTCTCAGATATATATTTTTAAGACAAAATGATGTAAAGTCCTGGCTCTTAATTTCCCCAAGCGTTCAGGACCTCTGTGTTATTCATGTAAGTTCCTTCTGCAGGACGCACAGACTGGAGAAGGTCAGGAATGCACCTCCAAGAGAGAACAGCAAAGTCAGATGGGCTTGAACTTTGCTGGGTTCATAAATTTTCTCTCTTTCATGAACGCCGTCTCCAGCTGGCTTCAGGTAGCCTCCTTCTGCAGGCCTTCAGCTCGGCAGGTCAGTAGGCCTGCCAGGAATTACTCATGTCTCCCTCAAGAGCTATTAAAAATAATACATAACGGGGAGAGCTTTACTGCTTTTGTATTCCTGGAAGAAGGGAACTGCCCAGAGGGAAGTTCCTGGGCATGCTATGAAATGGGCACAGATGTAGGAAAGCAGGGCCAAGGAGCTTCCCACCCTCCATTCCCATAGCACCAAACCTACGTCTCGAGGACAGAGAGCATCCCTCTCAAACAGCAAAGATGTAAGTGCGGGTGCAGGCAAGCGTCTCGCGGCAGGGGCTGGGGCGTTACCTGTTCTTGCGCTCCCAGTTTGCCTTTCTGGATAGAAAAGGGGTTATGAGAGAAGATGGAGTTAAAATCCTTATGGGAAAGTTAGAGTAGGTCAAGATGGACTGTGTGGTACAGCGGATTAACCGGCGTGTACAGAAGGAGAGAGAACACACTCAAGTACAATAGGAGAGGGGCTTTGCACAGAAGCAAAAGCCCAACTTCAAGGATAGGACAGAAAAGGGAGCAATAAGGAGAAAGAGGGATGGAGGGAGAAGAGTATAAGGTTGGGGGTGCTGCGTTTCAGAGAGCCGTGGGGTGTGCAGAGCAGGACGGACTTTTCTCTGACGTCTTATCCTGATGGGCTCTGCCATCCCCATGAGCGGGTTTTCTCCGTGTGATCCCAGCACTGAGGGCAGCCGTGCCGGGCTGGGCTGCAGCCTTCCTTCCACCTGTGACCACCACCGCGTCCGGAGCACGGGGCTCGCACACACACGTGTCCACAAACAGCCTTGATTCCAGGTCCCTGGTGGTTTCCTGTGCATGGCCAAGGGAAGGCGTTTGCAGGGTGCAAACGCGCCGTTGGGGACGAGCTGTAGGAAGCACCATGGGTGCTCTTTCCCAGCTAGAAGATCCCAAGAACAACAGAGCCTGGACTGCTCCAGGCAACACACAGCACCAGCCTTAATTCATCTGGCTCCCCCAAAGAAGGGACTTGAAATCAAGGCTGGCTCAACAATGACGACAACCAAAAGGAAAGAAAGAAACCAAACAAAGAACCAAGGAGGACAGCTACTACAATGAGGACATCATCACGGTGTGCGACTGGTCACCACGGAGACAACTATGGGACGGTGTTGGGGTGCTCATGCTCAGCGCGTACGTACCACCGACGAGTCGACAGGCAGCTGAATACAGCTTAACTGCCCACTCGCGTCTTCTCGCTTGGAGATTTCCTGAAGTGAGAACGAGGAGGGGGAAGGCAAGGGAAGGGGGGGGTTCAATTTTCACAGTTGCAACACGAGCGCTGAGCGCAGGACACAAGCGAGAGGAAGGGGAGGCAGGATGGAGCGGGACGGGGTGACAAGAGGGCAACCATGGCGAGGATGAGCTCGGCAGCACGCGGAGGAAGGTCTGAGAGGGAGCAGAGCCCTTTGGAGAGACCAGCCTTACCTTTAAATTAAGTGTTTCCAAAAGAGATTCATCTCCTAAGCGATAATTGCGCTAATGAAACACCGACTAATTATTGAAAACACGACTTCTTTTTTTGGCAGTTGCATAATGGGATCTTTATTTATTATGCTGTCATTAAGTGGCAATGCAGGCTTTTAATGAATGCTTGATTAACATGATATCAGTTCTCTTACAGCCAGGTGAAATATGTCCTTTAAGGAAAGCCATCATAAACTACATGGATTTGGCTCAAACTCCTTTGGGGGAAGTGCTTAATTGGGGATGTGATTTGGATCTCCCCAAAATCAGCAAGGACACAGTCCCACCATGGGGGCTATGATGTGGCTCCAGGATGGTCTAACAAGTTGTTCCAGCACCTGCTTACAGTACCAGAAATCCATTTTTCCCTTTCCAATTGGAAAACATAGGGTTTTAACCACCTCTTTGGGCCTTCCCTTCCCCAGTGGCATTTAGGGTTGTCCAAACAGGTTGGGGAGCACTTGTGCAGCTCCAAAAGGAGGGTTTTCTGCATAGCCACTTGCCAAGAGCCACGGGAAGGGTCTGCAGAGGGTGCATGGTACCAGCACCCTTTCCTGGGTCCTGAACCTACGTGAGGATTATGTACAACAACAGAAGGGTGCAGGGTCTCCAACTGGCTTCATTTCTTGTCTACTTGGCATAGGATTTAAGATTCATCCCACTGTAGACTGGGGTGAAAAGCTTAGGAAATGCTGATCACCTTTTGGACCTGATCAAGACAACGGTGTCTTGCTAGCCACATGATGGACACTTAATTTAAAGTCTTTGGTTGTAAAAAAGGAAGCGAGACGGGGGAAAGTCATCCAGAGAGAAACCAGGGAAACACGTTTCCTTCTCAAGAATGGTCCCAATGAAACAGATAGGAATGTAGAAGGTAAGGGATGCAACAAGAACACAATCCAAAGGCTCAAACAAGGGAAAACAGCCTGTTCCCTCTGGCTGAGCCCCAGAAGTTCAAGTTCTGCTTGCTCAGACAGCAAATCGAAGGTCTGATGATATACCCGGGCAGTCGGTTATGTCTTTCCTACCTATGGAGGAAAGCATGGAAGGGCTTGAGGAACGCCAACCCAGCAGGCACCATCAGGGAGTGGGTCCTGGGTGTGCAAGGGACTCAAAGAAGGAAAAGAAATAAACCCTGGAGCGAGGGCCTCCAGGGACAGACACACACACAACCAGAGGGGATTACCAATGGAAGAATCTGCTTTGGAGATAACATTACGTGGAAGTCCCCCAGGAGAGGAGCTTTATGCCTAACAACGCTCTCTTATAGGAGCGTTTGCTTTGGAGACAAATCCCCAGGGCAGGGACCTGATGGCTCAGGCAGCAATTCCCAGTACGCAGCACTATGGAATGGAGGCATCGCTCCCTTTCCCCACGTCCAAGGGCTCGGGCCTCAGCACCAGCCCCGAACCCGCACGCTCAAAAACACCCACGTTGCCTAAAATCCTGCACATGGCTTTCGCATGAGAGAAGCGGGTTACCAAAAGAATAAAAAAACCACCCTGCAAAATATATTGCTCTGGATTTAAAAGTTTGGAACAGGTTCTTTTTGTTTCTTAACTGCTTATATACACGCACTGCCTAGCAACAGCGGGCTGCAAAGCCACGCTCTAAAATTCACGAGGTGCTTGCGGATTGAGGAGAGACAGCCGAGGAGCCGGCAGATAACGCCGGCAGCCCCGGGCTCGCGTTTCGGCCCTGAAATCCGACAGAGAATGGAAATAAAACAAGTCTAATGCAGCAAGGGTCAAGTGCCGCGGCTGTGCACGGAGCCCCGCTGTCCTGTCATCACGTTCCAGCCTTCTGGAGGAGCGGCGAGACCACGGCGTACTGGGGGCACGGTGGGAAGAGTGTTATTAAAACGCTATTAGAAAAGCTGGAGATACAAAATAGCTCTGTGATTGCACTGCAATCGGAGTCACAAGTCACATAAATCTGATACACGTTCCTTGAAACTGCTGGGGAGATGAAATTACAGCCCCGCAAGCAGGGAGGAATTTGGACTGAGGGACCTGCCTGGGCTTCCACTCTCTGCAAGTGGTGGTGAAGGAGCAGCAGGGCAGTCTGGACCACCGTGCCAGCCCCTGTCCCACCACAGGGTGAGCTGGAAGCAAACGTGTGAGTACAAGGAGCCGCTGCATCCGCAGGCTCCGTCATCACCGGCCAACAAGGAGCTCCTCGGCTCCTCCTGCTCCGACACGGGAACGTGATGCTCTTCGGGAAAGCCCAATGGCAACCTTCCTCTTCCACTGAGAGGCCATGGGAGGTGATTTACGGAGAGAAACACCCACAGCGAGAACAATTAGAAACCAAATCACGAACAAGGAGTGAGAGGAGTCCCCACGATTCAGCCCTGCGCTGCACTTTGGTCCCTGCGCACAGCAACCCACCACGGGGCAACATCACGATGGACAAGAGGCAAAGCTCAAATGACACGTGGTCACCCCAGCACACTGCAAACGAACGAACAGGAAGGATCAGACACACTGTGTGAAGGCACAGGAAGGGCTGGAGAGCAGCGCTCGGTTCCGTTTACCTCTGGAGAGCCTGGGCAGCGTATAAAGGTGCCCTCTGTCCCTCTACACGGAGGATTTTGCCCAACTGGGCAGGTTGTGCAGAGAGTTGGGCAGTCACAGCCCTCACTCTGGACACTTGCTGACACATTCATTCCTTCCCTTAGGATGACAGTACAATGAGAAGGAAGATTGGCGCTGGACCAAAGCCCCCTGTGAAACCTTGCAGGAATCCAGGCTGCTCCGTGGAGATTCCCAGCCCGAGGAAGCAGCAGCAGAGACTAGAAATGAAGTAGGTTACACCGTGCAGAGCACTGCAGTGCTGGGAAGGGGAAGAGCGCTGCCAGCACGTACCATCAAAGAGGTAATCCCAGCGCTAAGCTCCCGGCAGCCTGCACCACTTTTCAGGAGGGGCTTTTAATCTAGCTCCCAAACGCAGCAAAACCTGTTTCAAAGACCCTGTCACAGCAGTTCCTCCATCAGCAGGGACTGACTCACCGCTAAAGTCGAGTGTTGTATTAATGCTAACAATGCTTTTCATTTAAGCTCAGTTAAAGGGCTTGGTGTATTAAATTGTGCCTTGGTTAAGAAGGAGGAAGGAAAAAAAAAAGAAAAAAAAAAAGAGACGACCTAATAATTTTCTCCAGCTCTTTTCTTGTATCACTGTTATAAATGTTTCATAAATCATATGCCAGGACACAGAAACTCTGAAATTTCAGAAGAAAACAAAGGTATGAGCAGCAGGACTTTACCTCAGTCTGGAAGCCCTCGACCAGGATGGCCACGAGCAGGTTAAAGAGGACGTAATTCCCAAAGGTCATGAGAGCAATGAAGTAGAGAGCAGCCCAGGAAGAGGTGGACGCCATGCCGTTGTACAGGACTTTGTTCCAGTCTTCCTGGGTCAAGATCTGTGGAGAGAGGGCATCATCAGTCAAAGGAAGACACCCAAGGAAAACAAGCCTGACTGGATATCTGAGTTTGGGATGGGCAGAGGTTCCAGTCAAGACAAACACTTTTCAGGGTATCCATCACAACCATAACTACGTATTTGGAGACAACATGGCCCATTAGAAGTTTGTCCTCCTTCTCACCCAAAAGATAAGGCAGAAAGAGGCTCTGGAGGATAAATCTGGCCCACTATCCGACTCAGAGCAGAGACAGGGCAGCGAATGCCTCCTGCACCACCCCAGGTACCAATCCCGTCCAAAGCATCACGATGCCAACCGGTACCAAGGCGATTTCCATTTTGTACCTGGAAAACCGTGACAATGGCCCACAGCAGGGAATCAAAGTTCTTCCTGTCCGGCAGGGTGTCACCGTCTCGCTCCGAAGCAAACTTACAGCCGAAGAGGTGCATCCCCAGGATGCTGCAGGTGAGAGAAAGCAAGGGCTGAACAGAAGATGACAGTAAAAAAAAAATAAAATAAAGCAAAAATCATACAGCAGGGCTTAATATGATTCTAGATTTCAGCTGTGCTTTTTTTATTCTTTGTTTTTTTAAGATGAATCATTTGTTCGCTAAAAAATGCGCGACGAGATCACGCAAACCAATTGTGAATTTGGGTCAAATCTGTCAAACAGTTTCAGCCAGAAAGTATGTCTGTGCCTTCTTTTTCTTCTTTGTTTTTTAAGTCAAAACATTTCGTTTCAACATTTTCTAAACAAAATGTTTTGACTTTCTGTTTTGCAATGACACATTTTCAGCAAAATGTGTCTAAATTGAATTAGAAAGACCAAAAGGGGTTCTGTGAAGTGCCTGAATAAAACGCATCAGGTGACCCGAGATAACTTTTTTCCATTTTGACAAGAAAATGCAATACCTTTCCTTTTAGACTGGTGCTAAAAGAATAATTTGTTCTCCCCAGCTTTTGGCCAGTAACCTGAATAATCAAATTATTCACAGCTCTACTCAGCATCATGGCAGCAAATGGTGTTTTGGTGTGGAGAGCTGCACTGGGTAAAGAAACATTATTCCATGGAGGAGACTGTCTTCCCTCAGCCTGCTCAGCAGCAAAGCTGCAGCGAGTTGGCTATTATAAAAAGACACGCTCTTTTCAATATCAAGACCAAAATTCAAATATTTGGGACCAGTTCAAGTCTATTTCTAATATTTCCACTGCAGAACTTCTCTTATCAAAGGAAGAAGCCATGAAGAGCAGGACCACCATCACAGAACAGGATGCAGACAGAAACCAACTTCATTTTTAGGAATATTGCCCTATCCCTGGCAGTATTTTTAGCACAAGGCTTTCTGCTGGCCCAGAAGTATCAGAGTGGCTGTCTTGGGATGATATCAAGGAATCATCCAGCTGAAAGAAGCTCCTTGCAGATCGCCTTGCAGAGATCAACGTCTCATTTGGCCAGAGCTGCGCGAGTTTAATCAGGGCAGCAAGCCCATCACCACTGCTGGCCAGCAAGGTCATTCCTGGGAATGTTTAGCTCATGAGTCCATCTTGCTTTCTTCTCAGTATTCCCCAAACCCTCACCTGAAGATGAAGATGAAGAGCATCAGCAACATGCAGAAGGTGGCCACGTTGTCCATGGTCTTCATGAGGACGACGAGCTGGCGCTGAAGGGCCGGCATGAAGCGGACCAGCTTCAAGACTCGCATGAGCCGAAACGTCCGCAGGACTGAAAGCCCCCCGCCTTGCTGGCCCACGATCTCCCAGACGCTGAGGGGAAAAGAGGCATCATGGAATGACAAGGGTGAAGCTCAGAGGGGAAAAATTGGAAAGCAGAAGTCATCCCAGGCTGAGATGCACTGCCAGCACCTCCTGGAAGCTGAAGGAGCTCCAGAGCTGCCAAGAGCAGAGGCCTCTGAAGCATCCAAATCAGTGCCTACAGCTGCAGGTGCTTTGCACATGCCAAGCAACCAGACAACTACTTAGTTGGACACTGATTGCATGGGATCCCAGACTTTCCCAAGCTTTCCCTAGGCTCTTCCTTGTCCCTGGATTCAGATTCTAGACTTTCCCAGGACAGTTAGACTGGCAGTTTTGTGCTTGGGCTCCTCTCTAAAACCACCACAAAACAACCTCAAGGATATATTTTAGATGCTTGTGTGTGTGCGCGCACATGTCTGTGTGGGCGTACATGGACTAATTTACAGCAAATAAGTAAAAAGCGTCATCGGAAGTCATTTATACTCATTCTCCACTACCTTGCATTTTAATTAAACATTTAAATGAAGGGGGAAACACGTAGAGAAAGTCCCGTGCCTGTACCTAATCACCACAATGATCCCATCAAAGATGTTGTATGGATTCTTAATGTAGCCAAAAGGACCGTAAACGAGGACTTTCAACAGCATCTCCAGGGCAAAGAGGCTTGTGAAGACGATGTTGCTGATCTCCAGGGCATTGGTAAGCTCCTCTGGCTGGGGAGAGGACAAGAGGGAAGCAAAAAGGTAACCAAGACAGCTCTATTAGGCAAACGTACACTTGGAAACAGAGCAACACCAAACATCTTAATGCAGAAGCATCGGTGCCAACTGTGTAACAGGAAAGTGGCAATAGCAAACAAACCCCAGGAGAGAGAAGATAAGAAAGCTACTGTTTAAGGTTTAGATACCCATTAGGGATTGAAGAGGGAAATCCAGACACGGACTTGGTGCTAATCACTGCTTTAGCACCACGGCAGGAGGTTTGTGTAGAACTGTCGTGTGCAGAGTCTTAATGCTTTCATAGCCTCCATCCCAGTGCTCCTTATGTACAAGGGGAGGCTGAAATGCTTTCTCTGATAAGATACTAAATAAAAAAAAAAATGCAAGCTTGAAATTATCAAAAGCCTCGATAAGATTTTCAAAAGCAGTTGGTGATTTTAGGTACTTCAACTGCAATGCCTTGGAAAACCTGATAATCAGGAAGCCCAGAAGTGCTGCTGAGAAAAGGGCCCGATCCTAGTATTTTAAACTGGTAAATTAAAAATAGAGGTATGAAAAAAAAAGGAAAAAACCACCCCACAAACAGACTTCCAGAAGACCTAAATTAATACCTTTCATGTTTTTCTACCATATTTCACAGAGGGCTCCCAACAATGCCTCCAGACAGCAAGCGCTGCGCTTTCCATGGCAGGTGGGCGTGCATTATTGGAAAACATATGGCAGAAGATAAGAAATGGTGGTGTAGCCTGTTCAGGATCATACCCTCAGTCAGCAGCAAAGACAGGAACTGAATTTCTAATACCAGAGTCATTCTCCTAATTCAACCCCCCTAACGTACATGCAGCTTCATGGGTCTGCTTAAAAGCTGCATTAAAAATAGAGAGCATCATCCTGCTGAGAGATGGCCGCGGGGTCAGGCTGACCGTATTGATGCTCCTCAAGACACAGTGGGTTGAAACAGTTTGCAGAACACCCGAAACACATCAGGTACTTGATTCTACTTCTACGTAGTAGTTTAGCACTTAATTTCTGTGAATACTTATCTAAATTTCCATAGGTAACCACTTTAACCACTCGCATCTTTAGACACCCAGATACTACGGTGCTTTGCAGCCAGCTTGGCAAGTGCAGGCACCACAGGGGAGCAACAACCCCAAGCAATACGGGACACCCACGGATGAGCTCCTCACCGCTCCCACTGACTCATGGGGCTAAAATGATTTGCGGCCAGAAAGCAGCAGGGAGAAGAGCTTCCCCAAACCTGCCAGGACCCGCTGTAGCACAAGCTGCAGAGCTGGACGTGGGTCGTCCCAGTCCCAACCCAGCACCCGGAGAGAAGGGTGATGCAAGGATATCACCATCACCTGGCTCGTTGCATCAGCGATTGCGTTTCAGAGCACCAAGAAACCATAGTAACCAAAGGTTTCGCAAATATGTGCTGTACATATAGAGAAAACCACCTGGGCATTTAATTCTTTGGGTTTTCAAGCACCAAAGCCCCCGGGCACAGCCTTCCAGACCCTGTTAGCTTGAGTTCCTCCAGCCTGGCAGCAGGGTTACTCCGCAGACGGAGACCTAAACCCTCTGGACATCATCTAAACACTGCAGAGTGGTCCCTGGGGCCTGACGCTGATGCTGGTGGGGGGTAAAGCCTAAGCTAGCAAGGGGGAAATGGGAGCATTGAAAAGGAAAAATTACAGACAGAAAATGGTTCAAGTGCTTCCTGGGTCTCGAACATCCCAATGTAATATCACATTTTGGAAAAATAAGGAAGATAAAACCACAATAGAGACTCCCTGCTAAAAAAAAAAAAAAAAAAAAAAAAAAACACCAAAACAACAACAACAAAAAACCAATAAGTTTTACAAAAGGAGGGAAAGCAGAAAGAGAAGCCAGAGGCAAAGAAAATAAAAGGTTTAAATCAATTAAAGTCCAAGCACATGTGGGTTTACACAGGTTGCTCCCACCAAGGAGCAGATCCCTCTGACATACTCGACACACAGTCCCCGTTGCCTCCCTGCGGATCGAGGTTAAAGCGCTCCAGCACTCCAGCTCAGGATATTAAACACAGCTATAGCTTAAAATTACAAACATATGGGAGCACCCAGAGATGAGGCAGCAAATGGGCCACGAATAAGTCACGTTGCACCTCAGGCCAACCTGAAATACCTGGAAGTCACCACATTAGTCACCGAGAACACCAACTCACTCCTAATGGCAGGAGCCGGGCGCAGGCTGCGCTGCTCTTACCGTGGTGACAGCCACGCAGGTGGGGAAGGAAACTCCTCCCTGGGAGCTCTCCTGCTTGTCCCCATTGCCACCAACAAACAGGGCACAGCAGCTGCAATCAGCTCGGCCAGACCTGGTGATGAGCATGTCCCAGCATGAGTCCCACTGTCCCCAGTCTCACCAGCACAACGTGCTTGTAGACTTCTATGCGCCAGCAAAAAGGAGTATCTTCTTCCGGCAGGACAAGCCACCGCCTCACCAGCCAAGGTGTCAATTTTGCATTAAGAAACTGGATTAATGCAATTCTGCTCTTACCAAGCGCCTTCTGCTTGAAGCTTTGCTGGGCCTTGTAAATCCAGGTGGAAACGGTTGTCATGGCACAGGTGGGTGAGGAGGCGCACACGGAGCAGGACTTGCACCCACAATGTTCCTAAGTGCTCCCAGCCACGCCTAACTGGCAGGGATCCCACCGGGAGGGGACGGCATCTCCAGTTGGGAATGGAGGTTCAACCCCACCCCAAGACAGCTCTGATAACCCCAGCTACAAGATTTCCAAGAAGATCTATCTATCTATATACACAGCATTGAACATCCTTCTGCCTTGGAAAGATCACAAGCACGTCAGAAAAATCTCTCCTTACACATCATGAAAATACAGCATGAAAATAGGTTTCCCGTCCCATGGGAATTAACGTCGTCGTCCCATCCCCAGCACGGATGAGGAGCTTCAGATGTAGTTAACTGCAGCTCTTAGTCTCCGAGATGCTGAGAGCGCCCTGCTCCGCTCCAGCCCGCATTCCCTTATCCATTTGCTCTCTTCTATAAATCAACCGAAATTAAAAAATATAAATAAAAGTCAGCTCAGAGAACATGGAACTTTCCGTTCCCAAAACGTTCAAATGGATGTTTCAAATATTTCAGCATACTTCAATAGCGGGCTGGATTTTTTTTTTTTTTTTTTTTTTTTTTTGGAGGGGGTTGTTTTAAACACAGAGTTCACTGTTCCCCTCCTAAGAGCAATTTTGACAAATTGCTCTTTTCTGACAATAACCACCTGAGCAAAACCACGGAGCTGCTCTCGGCAGCACAGACCTGGAGGAGTCGGAGTTTCCCGATCCAGCTCTGATGCAGCCGACACCTTTCCCACCAAGTACCCCAACCTCAGGGGGCAACTTCTTCTTGCCCAAGCAATAGGGATGAGGAACCAGCACTGGCTTTGTGTGCATGGCCGCTAATGAGCCCTGCAGAGACCTGCAGGTGCCAGCAAGGACCCTATTTATGCAGGTCCACAGGCAGGAACAAGGTGCAGAACGCGGGTGTTTAGTTGCAGCACGACACTCCCTGCTCACCAGTTTTGTTGGAGGACATCTGCCATAGATTACAATTCCCCATTAACTACAGCTTCTGCTAATTCCCTCGTCAGCAGCAGCAGGGACTAATTAAAAGGAAAGCTTGCTATGATTAAACAACTCGCACCCCGGACAAGCGAGACACAAGTGTGATTCAGCTGCGGCACGAAACACTGGCTCCAGAATTTTGCCTCCAGAATATCTGGACACGCAGCTGTAGCGTCCTGGATAAATCATTCCCTGTTTAGCTCCGTGTTGGAAAGCGTCCACTAGTTGACGTACCCAACGGGATGCTGACAGGCGCTGGCAGCCTGTAAACTCCAGGAGACGGAGTGGCATCACCCGCCAAGGCTCTTGTCACCAGGATGGTCCAGGGGCACCTCTGAGCAAGAGACAGGCAAGGGAAGAACATCTCATTGCTAAACGTTGCCTCGAGGTGTTCCTCAGAGCGAGACCAACACCTTGCCCTTTTTCAGCACTCGGAAATAGGCTGCAAGGCATTTTATTTATTTATTTATCCAAAACTCAGGAGCAGCTCTTGAGCAACGGTGCAGTTGGTGGCAGCAGCTCTGTGCTTCATTTGTACCCAGGGAGGAGATGGCAGAGCATGGTGCTCCATTCTGCCAGGCAAGTGCAGGGCTCCAAAGTGGCTTCTGAGCAAGCAAGGCTGAAGGGAACAAGTGGGGAAACGTCCCACAAAAAGAGAAAGACCAAGGCTGAATTCCTTTAAAGCATCAGTTGAGGTGGTCCATAGCCCTACTGGATGGTGAAACGCTGCCCAGCACCCTGGCATGCGTCTCGGGGAGCTCCTTGCTCCCTCTTGCACCTTGGGGTTGGCGTTGATGAAGGCTGGTGAACTCACGAAGCTCCTGGGACACAAAGAGCTCTTTCCTTCCCTCTTCCTATCCCAGACAGGGAGCTTCAAGCCACGAGAATCCTGGTCTCCCCTTGCCCCAGGAGAGCTGAACATAAGTGTTAATACTCCCAAGAGATCTCTTTTCTATCTTGCTAACAAAAAATACCTAAGTTCAAAAGATTTCTGTCTTGCCACAGTTCTAACGTCCAGAGGGGGCAACTGGCCAAAGGGAGGTCCCTGCTGATCCCAAGGGCTCCGCTTCCGAGCAAGCGCATCCAGGAGGCCACGCAAACTTCTCGACCCTTCAGACAACTGCAGAAGAAATCCTCCTGAAATCATTGCCATGGCAACGAAGGAAAAATGCCACAGGAGGAAAGTAACGACCTCAGCTATTTCTCAGGAAACACCGATATTTTACTGAGTCATCACTTGTAGATTTTTTTTTTTTTAATATACATACCTAGGAAAAAAAATCAAACAGGACCCACAAACATGAGATTTGTCCTGCTCCTCAAGCTGACCTGGCTCTTCATCTGCTCCAGGTTTTTAATTAACGGTTC